ATTTAGACCCTAAAGAATCATATTAGCTTCTACAAAAATGGCATTATATGACCCCTTTAAAACACATTCGGTTTATTAGTTCATTTATTCACTGACACATATGCATTACAGTAAGTTTATTAGTTTATGTTCAAATGTTGTAATCCAAATAATTGCAATTCAAATACATAAATCTTAAATTTAGGCCTAAATATTTTTCTGAGTGCACAAAGCTATGGTAATAATCAGTGTTTGGTCTGGCAACATTCACTATTTCCCAATTGTCTGTTTAGAATGTGCAATGATGAAATCACACAGAATGATTTTTTTGTCCGAGTTCTAATGGAATGTCTCATACTGTGTGTGGTGGGTGTGTAACGGTGAAGATGTGGATTTCTTTACTGTAACTCAGCTGATCTGTGACCTTTTATCCTCTGTGGACTGACTCACAGGCACCTGCTGTTGCAGAGACACAGATAACACTCTTTCCTCACAAAGCTAAGATCGGCTGATGATGAACAACAAGAACCCGGCGCTTCACACTCCACTAACCCCATAGACATGAAGTTGTCTTATCTATATGCTTTTCCTTTGGAAGGTCTTTTGGTCTTTAGGGTACGTTTACAAAAATGTCCTTTGTGTTTTTCACGTACAGACGACAACATGGTCAAAATGATCCCCGTTCACGTGGATACGTAGCCCAGACAACTTCCGGCAAATTTAGATTTGCTCTGAAAGTTAGTCTGGCAAAGAGCTCATTCAAGCCCATTTCCAATCCGTCGAAATTGAGGCACCAATCAGAAACGTTGGGGCGGGCTTTACACGATGACGACAGCGCTGGGATTTTGAAGCAGATTTTAGCCTACATTACAAAGATGGATGCCGCCGTCGAACATCACTCGTTCCAATCAGCTATCGCGTCTGTTCTAAGCGATTTGAACGTTTCCTTTTTGTTAAAAACCGAGCAAAGAACAACACTCGGAGATGTTTCTCCGCCGCTCTGCATACGTCCTCTCCTTCATCGCTCTGATTGGGTTTAGGTCTATCCGCGACGGCCGTTGGTGACGCCCCTCTGGAAATGATTTGTCTATGACGCTTTGCCAGACCATAACTCAGTTACAACTGAGAATGGTCTGGTGTTAAGGCTATACGCGAAAACGACTAAAAACACTGTATAATTCATGCCAGGCCAGTAGTTGGCGATGTCAATTTGTAAAGAAACACTACACACCTTTACTGAATACGTAATATGTATGTGCATGACGTCACCGTTTTCACAAATTCACATGGAGTGTAAACTATTGTTTTCAAAAACTTGCGTTTTTAGGCCCCCAAAACACTTTTTTCGTGTAAATAAACAGCCAAAATGTCATTTTTCTCTCCACATTTTTAGTTGAGAACGGTGTCGTGTAAACGGCCCCTAGATCATTTTGTTTCCAGCATGACACAGAGGGACATGATGGTAAGAGATGTATTCATGAGAGAATAATAGCTTTAGTGATTTGTGTTTCTGTTTTTAGGACCCTCCTATCTGTTGCTGTGGTGACTGTACTGTGATACTATCTATGAGGAGATGCAATCTCTTCAGTCCGATAGACCCTGGATAATCTCACTCACTCATCCCATAAACTATCTCCAGGTCAGCTCAAAGCACACTTTAAAAAGCATACTTATGTGCGTGTTTAAAATCCCTCACTGAGAACCACTTGAGCTTTGATATACATTTAGTGAAAAATCCCTCCAATAACCTTTCTAACTCTGCATTTTTTACCCTGTACATTCACACCATTAGAATTAGATCCATGACAAAATGTTCAGTCGTAGGTGGGGTTTCGTTTCATGGCTTACTTGATGAGGTGTATTTGTAAAGGAGCCAAAGACATACATTCAGCTTTTCTGGTTGTAAATAGAGTCTATCTGATCTGCAAGTAATATCTTACCAATGGCGCATTAAATAAAAAGTATTTCTGTATTCTGGTGTTCAGATATAGTATGCATCTCTACTTCAGTGTATTGGATTTTCCCCCCTTCTATTGTCCATGTGGCAAGTCTGATCAGAAAAGCAATAACACACCTGTCCTCAAGCCCCATGATTCACTAGCTCTTGCGAGATGAGTTATGAGTTCTAGGCGGAGGTCTGTTTTAAGGGACAGAGCATCCAAAAATAAAAATTCTGTCATCGATTACATTCGTTTATCTTTGAAGCACACATGAAGAAATCTGTTAATGAAACGTTTCCGCCCCTCCTTTAAAAGTCTGTTCCAGTAAAACTTAGATGCTTCAAAAAGTTCATAAAGAGATTGTAAAAGTAACCCAAAAGTAATCTGATTAGGTATAACTCGCGTTACTTTTAATGAGTTTCCCCAACACCGCACATGTGCTTGTGTGACGCGTGAGTGCGTTGATCAATGTTTAAATTAAATATTTGGATGAACTATCCCTTTAAATCCTAAGAATCCTGAAAATAAGCAGTAGCAATAGTTTACAGACACCAATACTAAAACTGATAATTATTTATCAGATGTTTTGATTATTTTTCAACACGCCATGTTTTGGCTTTGACCTTCTTGGACCTTTAGATACATTTGAAATACATTCATGCGGATTATGAAATACCTAGCCAATTTTATGGAGCACTTCCTTTATTTTATTTTTTCTCTTTTTCCCCTTCTTCTTTGCAGTGTTGAAAAGGGCATTTCCTTTGTTACAAGACATTGCAGAGCTTATATCGGTAAGTGTAACATGTGATGTTGTCTTTTGTGATGTTGTAATATTTGTGCCCATAAACGCTACAGAAGAACTGATCAGTGATGCAACAGACAGCCAGAACGAGTCTCATAGCAGAGGTCGAAGGAGATAGCATTGTAGAAGGTTTCACACACACACACACACACACACACACACACACACACACACACACACACACACACACACACACACACACACACACACACACACACACACACACACACACACACACACACACACACACACACACACACAGGCACGCACACACACACACACACACACACACACACACACACACACACACACACACACACACGCACACACACACACGCAGCCGTGGAGGGAGGGCTTGAGTTATGACCCCTTTAATATTTGTTTAATGTTTCTAATCTTCACTCATGTTTCATACACAGAAATATGTCCAAGGATTTTTGCACAACTGAATTGTTAACAACATGCATAGCTTTTTCAGATTTTTTTTATCCCATGCCCTCTGTGACGTTCCTTTAGATGCAAGTGTCACATTTGATTAAAGTCATATTATTAAAGCAGCTTCGCAGTAATAACAAGGAAAATAACAATATTCAGCTCAATTTAGTTCAATGTAGAGTCAAATCAGTTCAATAAGTCAGTGTTGCAAAGTTCATCAATTATGAAACAAAATTTAGTTTCAGCTGTAAAACAGCAGCAGCTCTACTAGAAAATAGTATCAATATTCAGCTTAAAGGTGCTCTACGTAACTTTTAGCGGCCTCTAGTGGTGATGTTTCAGATTGCAACCAAATTTTACAAGAGCGCTCGTGCTCGAACTCATAGACAATACCGTCTATTACGCAAATATCTCGGCGAATACTAGACGGATTCGGCGAGCACCGAGCTCGTTGGGACCATCTAGTCGAGCTGAAAAGAACCATATAAGTTCCATAGTTTTTGGTGGTGTTTTCGCGGAGATATTAGCAGAAAACCATCGGGCGCGCTGCAAAATTGCGGACGCCGGTGACGTCATGATCTCAGAAGAAAATCGCTCGTATCTCTGGAACGCAAAGACCCAGAGAGCTCAAATTCGGGGGAGGAGGTCCCAGGGGTGGGTGGGACTCTAGAGTGGCGGGCCTCGGGGATGCCCCCTACCGGATCGCCGTTCGCTGGGACCCCCGATTTCGAACGGCTATAACTCGGGGAGCCGGGCGAGTTGGACCTCGGGGGTGGGCTCGTTCGAAAGGCCCCGTCCAGCACTACAAACGATTAGAGTCTTGGGAATATTGATCAAAGATTGACTGAGATATAAGCCGAAAAACGTGCGCCTTTAACCGGACGTAACTCCCTGACCGTCTACAATAGACTGTATATAAGGAGAGAGGATCGGGAGCGCGCATGCACGTCACATCCGATGGATTTCGCGGTAAATCCGACCCGGAGACTTCACATAGAAATAGGAATACTGGCCTTCAGAGGTAATAGCAAGACTCGACAAGTGGATCATTTTAATGTGTGATTACAACCCCTTCACACACAGGCAATAAAAAAAGGATTAATTTTAGTAGAAAAGTTACATAGAGCACCTTTAATTCGGTTCAATAACTGTCAATGTTGCAAAGTTCATCTGTGATGAAACGAACTCAATTCAGCTAAGCAGCTCTACAGAACACAAGTGTCTTTTTTTCTTTCTCTTTCTTTCTTTCTTTCTTTCTTTCTTTCTTTCTTTCTTTCTTTCTTTCTTTCTTTCTTTCTTTCTTTCTTTCTTTCTTTTTTCTTTTTTTCTTTCTTTCATGTTAAAACACTTTATTGAACATTAATTTGTTTTTGATTTAGCAGACACTTTTATCCAGAGCGACTTACAAACGAGGAATACAACGAGCAAAGTGTGCATTAAGTTCAAGTAATTTGTCATTTTCTTGGATGTGTTTATTGGAGTAAATGTGATCTCATCTGCTATACTGTATGTAAACAGGGAGTTATTGACTTTTATTCAGTCGAATGACCTCTTTGAGACCTCTTACCTTTCAATGTCCTCGGCTATCCACGATTATGTCACAAAGAGCTCCACCAAATATAATTAAGCAATAAGATGGGAGAGGCTGTGTTACATGGTGAATGTTGTCACTGTTCCACCTCAGCTGGCACTCTCTGAAATCTTTATATTATTTTTATTAAGCAAATTCATTATGTTTCGCACTTTTTTATCCCCTGACAAATGTAAACTAAAGTGAGTAGTAAGTGTTTGAGTGCTGTGTGTTCGTGTCACAGCTGTTCCTAGTGTATTCCAGCATGGCTACGCTGCGTCTCGGGCCGTAAACAGTGAGACTCTCTGGATGGATGGCCAGTCCGTCACAGTGTTACTTTGATCATGTAGGCTACAAAGAGCAGAGCACTGCTGAAGACATTTGTATACAAATGCCATGCGAAATCTCGTTGCTTTTTGGCATGGTCTTCAAGTCTCCAGTGAGGAATTCCCCTTTATTTGGCTGTTATAAAACAGATGATGCATGGATTGAGGAATCGGCTCTGCTGGAGTCTGTCTCAGTCATACACCTCCAGAGTTCTCACAAAGTGGATTTATACATTTTCAGACCAACAGTCCAGATGTCCATGGGTGAAGAGGTAAAGAAGGGGTGATCTCAGAAGGACAGACTGAACTTCACAACACCATCATCACTGTATGACACTCTTCATCGGGACTGAGCCTAAGCCCAGAACAAAATTAGACATATCCTGAGGAAATGTAAAAAAAAAATTAAAAGTGTCTGCCCCAATCAATTTGGCTGTATAAGCCATTTCACCTTAAATGACAGTAAACTAAAAATAGTAGACTTAGTTGAATCTTTTATAACTTATTAAAAAAAGTTGAAAATTGCTTAACTTATTTTGATGAGTTAAAGTAATGTAAAAAAAGATGTTGTCATGACTTATTGATCATATCATTTTTAATATTTTTGGAAATAAAAGTAGGAACAAAAATTCAAACACATGCCTTCTCTGCAAAACCTGCCAATCCGATATCAGAATATATAATATATACATAAATACAATATATATTTACATATATAACATATCTATTACATGAATTGTTTGTGTTAAACAGCAAAAAAAATTTAAAATTCAAACAGATAACTGTATACTAGAGTCTACAGTTTAAAAGTTTGGGGTCAATAATATTTTTGCAATACTTTTATTTAGCAAAGATGCATTAGATTTACCAAAATTTACAGTATAGACATTTACAATGTAAGAAAAGAATTCTATTTCAAATAATTTGTATTCATTTAAGAATGCCCAAAAAATGTATCAGTTTCCGCAAAAATATGGAGCCCCTGTTTTGAACATTGATAATAATTAGAAATGTTTCTTCAACAACAATCAGCATATTAGAATTATTTCTGAAGGATCGTGTGACACTGAAGACTGGAGTAATGATGCTGAAAATTCAGCTTTGATCACAGGAATAAATGACATTTTAAAATATATTTAAGTAGAAAACAGCTATTTTAAATTGTAATAATATTTCACAATTTAACTGTATCAAATAAATGCAGCCTTGGTGAGTAGAAGAGACATTTTCAAAAACAATAAAAGAAAATTAAGATTTGAATGGTAGTGAATATGTCTAAATACATAAACGAATTAAATCTTAATTATGTCATCATGAAGCAGCATTCAGTTTTCACTAGCAAAGTGTTCCCCTTTTGCCTTTCATTCACATCTCTTATTTTTTCAAACTACTGGTATTTCACAACAGTGTTGCTCAATCCCAATGCACATCCATCAGCTTAATTGAATCTTCACTTTGACAACACAAATCCCTTAGATAGCACTCATTTATTCTTCCCCGCGGAGAACACAGTGTCAACACTTCAGTCGGAGACCCTTATCTGCATTCATTCGGTACACTCTAAACATAATGCACTTACATTTGAGATTGAGGAGAAAAGCAAACGGCCAAACGAGTCGACGACTTGTACACTCTTAAAAATAAAAGTTCCAAAAAAGTGTTTTTGTTTGTTAGTAGCAATGCAATAGAAGAACCATTTTTGCTTCCCCAAAGAACCTTCCAGTCAACAGTTCTTAAAATAAAATTTTTTTCTTAGTGTGAAGAACATTTTAAATAATATTAAGAACCCTTTTTCCCCCAATAAAAAAAGAACCCTTTGTGCACTGGAAAGATTTCATGGATGTTAAAGGTTCTTAATGGAACCATCTATGCAAACACAGAACACTTAAGTGTGTATAAGATTGAGCAAAATAACACTAACAATGTTCTGTTCTATGAGAAACATCTACACAATTAGGTTTCATGCTAACTAAAGCAACAAACAAACACCTACCCCCCCACACACACATCCACCCACACACACTTATCCATGCACACACATTCACAGACATTAGTCAGACGAGGACTGAAAGTGCTGTTCGAGTAAAAGATGAGTAAGGTACAGAAGAAGTGAAGCTTGTGGCTCCTCCTCTGTTTTTTCGAGCTGACAGTCCCAGACAAATGGATAAGAGTGAAGTTACTCCTGCTCAAACTCTCCCATGCAGTTCTACTACCACATCACCAGCGCTTCCCAGCAGACACACGCGACTTCTGCTCGACGGGACCTCTTCAAGGGCTGATAGACCCTTCAAGATCTTTGTCTTTGAGATTTGAAAGTCTTTTTCCTGTAGTTGTCAGCGCAGGAGACCTCTGTGTTCTTCTTGAAATCTTAGTCTGCAGATATTCAAGGGTGTTGCAGCGAAGAAACCTCCTCCTAAATGCTGACTGAGCCGTGTGCCCTGATGGGATCGGACGTCAGAGACCTGAGCGCCCTGTTTCCAGCGGTCCCAGCGCTGCCGGGGAGGGACTCCAACTGTTCCCTGCCCCTCGGCGGAGCTCCGCAGTGGGGACCGATGCTGGACTTTCACCCGGCCTCCCCGTACGGATCTCTTCCCTCACACTCCTTCGTCAAACAGGAGCCGGTCTGGGGGCCCGCAGACCCCCACGAGGATCCTCACTGCGGTTTGGGGGCCTTCACCGTGCACTTCTCAGGCCAGCTCACAGGGATGCCGTTTGCCGATTCTCCCTCCAGCCAGAGCCGGATGTTCTCCGGAGGGCCGTATCTGGAGAACCCTCCTGTCCCGCGCAACCAGGGTGAGACAGCCGTCCCGTTCCTGGATCACATGCGCTCTGTCATGAGCCACATTATTCATTTGTCTCTGTTGTTGGTGTCCACAACGTAAAGAACATGAAACTTCAGAGTGTGTACACTGTAAAAAAACTCAACGCGTTAATTTTTTAAAAAGTTTTACTTAAAAAAGTTGGATAACTTTTTTATTTTGCCAATTTATACATTTGACAAATCAGTTCCACAAACACTGTAAATTTACTTTACTAAAATCTAATTTTGTTTGTTTTTACACTGTATTGTAGGCGTGTGTGTGTGTGTGTGTGTGTGTGTGTGTGTGTGTGTGTGTGTAAAGTTTAGGAGTTTGTTGATAACAAATGACCCATGGAGGATCTCTTATATTACCCTCAAAATGTTATTTCGGAAAAGTGCATTAATCATGCATTTTAAGTCAGTTAAATCTTAAAGTTACACTCTAAAAAATGCTGGGTCGTTTCAACCCATGTTTGGGTCAAATGTGGACAAACCCAACCATTGGTTTACATTTTTTAATTACATTTTTAAACCCAAAGGTTGGGTTTGTCCATATTTGACCCAAACATGGGTTAAAGACCCAGCATTTTTTAGAATGTATACACGTTTGTGATTTACCTGATTTAGAAATTATTAAGAAATTGAATTGTTCAAATAATAATTATTTTAATCACATCATATTGTATATGATAACCAGCATATTGTAGAAAACAAACAAACAAACAAAAGGTACAGGTAATTTTCTGCCAGGACATTATCCGTTAAGTTTACAGTCATTTTTTGTAACCCTAAAACACAAAACAATGCAATATTCCAAAGGACTGGTTAAACACCTGCGAAAAATCAATACGGAAAATTCCTTCATATTAACATTAAGTACATTGGGCCCTATTTTAAAGATTTTTCGGTAACGCTTTATTTTACAGTGTCATTACATGTAGTTATAGCAATAACTGTAAATGATGCATACTTGCATTAAACTAACCCTAAACCCTAACCCTAACCCTATAAGCACATGTAGTTGCTTAATATTACTCAGTACTTAAATGTATAACAGTGTAACAAAGACACCTTAAAATAAAGTGTAACCGGCTTTTTCATTAAACGACTACATAAATAGTTTTCGGCACGTTGTTTTACAGTCCTGTTTCGCATGAACATACTTTATCGTTGTAAGGCACTAACCCTGAACCTTAACTCAACCCATGCAGTTACCTTACACTACTCGTACGTTTGTGAGTGCACATACTGTAAAATAAAGTGCAATCTATAGTTTTATTGAACAATCTGAAATCATCTATCAGATTTACATGGACATATAGAAGTAAAATATCTGAATAATGCCATATAAAGGCATTTATATGCTTTGATAAACGTATGTCACTCCAGCCAGATTCTTTGAAGAAACTTACAGTCTCCTTAAAACTATTGGGAAAGCAGAAGATTGATGGTCTCTGATGTTTTAAAGGAAAATAGACTGAAATGTTTCTCAAATGGTTAAAGAAGTGAACCAACTAAATAAATACTGAAACCGTAATTTTCAGTAAACCGAAACGGCGATAATGTGCTTTTAAAAAAACAAAAATGTCAAATGAAATGGTCTTAAGAGGTTAAGATAAAGCGTGAAATGTTGTTTTCCGCAGCGATTTAGCTCTATAGATATTAAGATTGGTCTTTATTTATTGGTATTCATTTCATGGAACAAGCATTGTACATTCAATATACAAGATAAGTCTCAGGAGAATCAATCTATCTTTATTTTTTCTTCTTTGTGTTGATGACTGACTTACAGCGCCGTGTGAAACTCTTGAAGAGCTTCTCCTTTAAATCTGCACTCACAATCAGTTTAAATCACAGTTCTTGATTGTAGACTAGATTAGACAAAGTCTCCCTGTATTTTATTTATTATTAGATTAACTTTGGGAAAAGTCACAATGACATTGTGATTAATTGCAAAAGCACATTGGTCCCAAGCGGGTTATGAATTATAAGTCTGATGGTGAGGGATGTGTATTGTCAAACTATAATGTGTATTTGTTAGGAGTAGTGAGACCTTTTCAGTGTTTGCAGTAGTTGGACAGTTTTTCAGCCAATGGATGTTTATGTATATTAATATTACTGGTATTGTAGGGTACAAGAAGTATGCGTATAACTAATTTTTTAAACTTAAACTAACTTTTCTGATCTTAAAAACACGTTTGTAAATGTTGAGATTAACATTAACTAATATTAAGAAATGCTGAAGTGTTGTTCATTCTGAGTCCAAGTTAACTAACATTAACAAATGAAGCCTTATTGTGAAGTGTTACCATTTTTCCTTTAGTGTGACTTAACTCTGACTTTGTCTGTCAGAATAAAACAATGTTTGTGTGATGTTTCACCTGCAGGTCCCTTTGTCCATTGCGGAGAATGGAGTGTATATCCAGTGAAAAAAGATTGATTTCATTAAGAACAAACAAACACTTACTTACTTGTTTTGTCTCTTTCTCTTTCTCTCACAGGTTATGGTACAGTAGCATTTGATGGAGCTCCCAGCTACGGTCACACACCTTCACACCACACACCTCCGTTCCCCAACAATACCTTCAAACACGAGGACCCCATGTCCCCACAAAGCACTATGGGTAAGGAAAATATGTTCTCAGTGTGACCTATAAAGCAGTAAATGCCTTTGAATAAATGATGAGTAAATGGAATAATTATAAGGCAAAAGTAAGACAGTTTTAGGTTGATTTCTGTGGAAAGTTGGTAAATACTGTTTGTTTGAGCGTCCTGACCATTCCAACACAGCAACAATAACTCAGCCAATGGGGTGAGTGTGGAGGCGGAGCTATCTGTTTGTGACAGATATCACACACTGCACCTTTAAATAATTTGCTCACCCATGAGAAAAAGTGTGATTAATTGTATATTTTAGTCTACCATAAATTCGCGTTGGTTTATTCGTCAGTACACTTTAACCATATTTCAAAGACAATAAAAGTAATTATGAAATTACTAGGGCTGTCAAATGATTAATCGTGATTAATCACATCCAAAATAAAAGTTTTTTTTACATATATGTGGGTGCACTGTGTATAATTATTTTATATATATAAATACACACACTTGTATATATTTAAGAAATATTTTCATGTATATACTGTATATAGATTTATATATAATTTATATTATATATAAATATAAATATTTTATATATAAATAATATTTTTTTCTTAAATATACATGCATTTGTGTGTATTTATATATATACAAAATAATTATACACAGTGCACCCACATATATTATGTAAAAAAACTTTTATTTTGGATGTGATTAATCGTGATTAATCTTTTGACAGCCCTAGAAATTACATATAAAGATAAATGTAATTAGGTCAGAAAGGCACTCTTAAGTTGAACTAATTGCATTTAATATACATTTAAACTGTAAATAACATTGTAATTTTACTTCACTTCACATTTGAAGGAATAGTTCACTTAAAAATGAAAATTCTGTCCTCATGTACTCATCCTCAAGTTGTTTCAAACCTGTATGAATTTCTTTCTTCGGCTGAACCCTTACAGAAAAACCACATGAGTTTCACATGTGCAAAAACACATGTGATCCCATGTGACAACGTGGACATGTGATTTTGCACATGTGAAATTTAACATGTGAAATATGTGGAACACATGTGCTTTGCACATGTTAAAGGTAATTTGCACATGGGAAACGTGTGGTTTTGGAACATTTTCATGTGAAACCCATGTATATTCCCATGTGAAACCCATGGGATTGCATGTGAAACCCATGTGATTACATGTGAAACCCATGGGATTGCATGTGAAACCCATGTGATTACATGTGAAACCCATGGGATGTGAAACCCATGTGAAACCCATGTGATTACATGTGAAACCCATGTGATTACATGTGAAACCCATGGGATTGCATGTGAAACCCATGTGATTACATGTGAAACCCATGGGATTGCATGTGAAACCCATGTGATTGCATGTGAAACCCATGTGATTACATGTGAAACCCATGGGATTGCATGTGAAACCCAAAATTCCCATGTGAAATCCATGAGCTTACATGTGAAACGTAAAATTCCCATGTGAAACATTTAATCACATGTGAAACCCATGAGATATCATGTGAAATGTAAAATATCTCATGTGAAACCCATAGAATGACATTTGAAACCCATCAACAATCCATGTTAAAGCTACACACCATGTAAACCTGTAACTTCATGTGAAATCCATGTAAAAATCATTAAGCAATATACCACAGAAAACGGTAGGCCTACCATGTTCTTGTGTAGGCTCTATAGCCTAATGTTTCCCAACATTAAAACAAATAATTCAAAAAAAATTTTTTTTCACTTTTTATTTCATTTCAAAATATGCAATACAAATTGAATGTTTAAAACAAACAAAGCAAAACCAAATTAAAATTATACATAAAAAGCCGCAAAAAACGCAGGTATACGCGCATGTGTGTGTGTGTGGTGTGCGTTTGTGAAAGTGTGTTGTCTCAGTCCTTTGTGTCTCCTGCAGCAGGCATCCTGTTTTGGGATAGAAAAAGATCAAAGATTAGGGCAGTGCAAACCATAGACTGTAAAAAAAAATATGGACGTAGTGTCCGTGACGTCACCCCGTAGGTTTCTGAAAAGCATTTTTATGGGGCTTAATAATTAATTATTATTCATTTGTAATGTTATTATGTCATTAAACGTTTTACGTAAATATGCTATGGAAATACATCTTGCTTAAACAACTGTATAAGACGAGTGGTGCGTCTCATTTATAAAAAAAACTATTGACAGTTTGTGATTAGATCACAATGTAGACTGAGGAATAAACTGAGTCATCAGTCCTCGCGCATGTCGGTTTCGCAAATGTGAACAGACCACATGGGGATCACACTTGGATGTTGGATCGTCTGAATATTACCTTTCTGCTCGTCTCCTCAGATCTTTTAACTTTTGTGCCATGCAGACCTTGATCTCAGTGCCTCCGATGCCTGGGTGCCTCTTTTTGACATGGTCTGTAAGAAATGAGATTGATTACATTAAAATTTGAAAACAAGTTTGACATGAAGTGACATAACTGTCAGATTCAAACTGTGCTTTCCGCGCTATGGCTGGCGCTGACGGACGCGCTCAGCGCTTGTCATATATAATAACTATTGATAAAAGATATTCAGACATGCTTACCAATTATTAGCTGCACCTTTTGTAGGTCAAGGCTCTTTTTTCACCAACAACCCCTTTTTTTCCGTTCATGCTGCCATCTCTTCGAAAGAGAAGATGGAGTCCATAAGAGTTCTGGTTAACTTTTTGTAGCCCTTACATCTTTGAGCATGATCCAAAGCAACTGGGTTCATTAAGTCAGTCACAGACTTGTTCTGCAAAGCAAAAAATAAAATAAAAAATAGAACATTTTCGTCAGGACAGAAACCGTGATCTTTTCAACGTTATTGCATATTAGGTGAGGTTTTCACTTTGGAGCTGTGAGTGTAAATTTTAGCATACAAGTATTTATTGTTCATGCTCGAGTCTTGATACTCTTTTACCTTCATATTCCAGAGTTTAGGGGTAAAATGCGAGAAATCTCCTTTAGTGGACTTGGATATGCTGGGCACTACTCACTGATCTATATAAATGACTTGATTGCTCATGACGTCATGTAAATTGAAGTCACCATATTCTATTGAATTAATAGGAAATCATCTGACTTTAATGAGTAAACATGACCTAACGAGTCAGTGTTTTTTATATTTGAATTCTATACATTCTTACCATGTAAACATCCAAAACATTTCTGATTATTATCAATGTTGAAAACAGTTGTGCTGATTAATGTGTTTGTGTAAACCATTGTAACAGTTTAAACCATTTTTTCCCCTCCAGGATTCATTGTTAAATAGACCACAAACATATGAAGGGTAGTTTACACTAATGTTCAAACATTTGGGGTCAATGATAGATTTAAAAATGAACAGAAAAAAAAGAAGAAATTCATATTTTTACTCAGCAAGGATGCATTAAATTGATCAAAAGAGAGAGTAAGGATTTCTGTTTCAAATAAATGCTGTTATTTTAACCTTTCTATTCATCAAATAATCCTGAAAAACACAAAAATATGAAGCAGCACAACTGTTTTCAACACTGATAATAATCATAAATGTTTTTTTGAGCATCAAATCGTCATATTAGAATAATTTATGAAGGATGATGTGAAGCTGTGATGCTGAAAATTCAGCTTTGATCATAGGAAGTAATTGCATTTTACAATATATTCACATAGAAAACAGTTTTTATTTATTTATATTATTTCACAATATTATTGTTTTTAATGTTTTTTGGTGAACATAAGAGAAAGAGACATAAACATTTGTACCAAGACAATTAGTGTATGTTTGACATTAGTGTATGTTTGGCGTTTTACTTACTAATCATATGGTTCATCAATAGTGCTTTAGAGATGAAGATCAGCTCCACTCCGCTCCGTTGAAGGGCATCAGCACTGAAGGATCTAAGAACACAACAAGCCATTTGTCACTGAGCCAACAATGCAATGCCAGGTTTATTGAAAGGAAAGAAGCTACAGCAGAGGTGAAATGCAGAAAAGAGAAAGAATTTAAAGAATATACAGAATATAATTTCTTAACTAGGATAACAGAATTTGTTTTTGGGTTTACTTATTCATTTAATTTTGCTCATACGGTGTAACTTCGTTTGGATGTCAAAACCTTCTTAAAATAAACAATTTAAAAAAACAAATTGAGAAATAAAATGAGGTTATTTAATGAGCTTCCTCGGCTCACCTGTGTCCTAACGTTACTTCTCCGGCAGCAGCTTTCTCCAGAAATGTTGAAGTCGTGGAGCTTTCTCTCTGTTATGGGTTATTTTGTTACTACTGAAATCACAGAACATTTTTTAATCAAAATGTGTTTAACGTTACCATTGAGCTAACGTTAGTTTCAGCCAATTTTCTTGCTCCTGAAAGTAACATCACCGATACGTTATGTTTACGTTTGTGTTAAATAAATTAGCTCACTTCCAAGTAAAACCTTTACAAAACCTCTCATCTACACATAAGAGGTGATTAAAAGCCCAAACTTTAATAAATAAAAGTTCAACCGAGTTAACATTACGTTAGCCTAGCTAGCTGCTACCTCTTCAGAAAACGGTTGAGATCCTAACGGACTTTTTCCGAAGACACTACACCATGTAAATTTTTAACAGAATCGTGTCAATTACAAGTAAGAGAAATGTCAAAAACAGTTGTGAGTATTATTCGTGTGATTTTAGAGACTAATCTCACCTGGAAAAAGCCGTGAAAAGTTTAAACAACATCGAGAGAGGGAGTTTTGTTGCTTACCAGTAGCAGTGGTCCCGCGCCGTTTCCATGGCAACTCTGCGCGCCGGCCGCTCCAGTGTTTGAAATACTCGAAAGTTCACGCGCACGGCATTGATTAAACCACGTCAAAATCATGCAGCACTTAAAATGAAAAGTTTAATATCCACTTTATTTTATTTGAAAACGTGCTTGCAGTAGCCTATTGATTATATCAAATATAATATACTGTTGATTATGTAAAATATATTTACAATATAGCTTTAGAAATGGTAAACAGTGTTGAAATAAAAGTATTGCAAAAACTCATTAAAAACTATACGTGTATATAAGTGTTAGTATATACACATGCATTATAAGCTTTATGTTCTATGCATTTTGTGTGAAAAAGGCTATTGAAGCTAAAAATGTACAGTATTTGTGACGTGGTAACATAATTCACATGTTAAAACCTATTACAACGTGCAAATATATTTCACATGAGCTCCACATTATTACCTATAACATGTTTTCCACATGTGCCACGTGTTCCATTAAGTTCACATGTGGTGACATGTTGTTCACATGTGGTCGAACATTACTGCATGTGGTGACATGTTGTTCACATGTGGTCGAACATTACTGCATGTGGTGACATGTTGTTCACATGTGGTGAAACATTGTTCACATGTGATGACATGTTGTTTATATGTGGTCACATGTGGGCATATGTGGTCACATGTGGTCACATGTGGGCACATGTGGAAAACATGTGATAACATGTGAAATTCATGTGTTTTTTCACAAAAGAAGATATTTTGAAGGATTTCCATAGTATTTTTTTTTCCTACTGGAAGTCAGCAGAAGAAAGAAATTCATACAGGTTTGAAACAACTTGAGGGTGAATAAATGATGACATAATTTTCATTTCGAAGTTTATTATTTCCGTAATAAGTACTCTTTTTAAAAGTTTGCACAAGGGCTGTGCAGGATCGAGGATATTTAAGTAAAGTATGACAGATAAGACGTAGAGATATCTGGAGATCCCTGTCCACCGCAAGGATCATCTCGAGGTTAAGCGTCAGATGGAGTTTTAATGTCAGGGCAGTAAATACATTTTTTCCTCCCTTCTCGCTCTTATTTTTACCTCTCCGTCTCCTTCCTCAAACACTCAAAGCACTGAATGCAACGGTTTCTAAGTTCATTAGGCATACAGTAAATTACTCTGGAATAAATGATGGGGTCTCTTCTTCGGGCAGCTAACAGAAGGAAGCAGGATTGTGGATAAGACTGTTTTTAATGCTCCTGAGGGACTGAATCCCTAAGAAATGCACAGTGAGCTCTCAGAAACTCTGCTGACGGCTTTATGGTCTCAGCGAGCCCGGCGCTGTTTGGATAACCGCAGTGAAGACGAGGCCACACTCTCTGTTAGCTCGACTGTAAAACGCTTTGTTTCACTCTCTTTCAGATATGGTTGACATATGCTCTTTGAGGGTTGTAATATGTGCTTTGATTTTGTGATGATGCAGGTGAGCAACAGTACCCCGTCCCACCACCTGTCTATCCTCCTGACAGTCAGACCCTGCTTTTGAGGAACAGCTTCAACAGGTACCTTCTTTATCACATTTACTCAATGCAAATTACATTCAGTGTAATAACAGACATAATTAAGCATACATGTTTTCATTATTATGAAGATTATTAAAACTGTAGGTAACACTTTACAATAAGGTTAATTAGTTAACATTAGTTAACATGAACTCACAATGAACAATGCGTCTACAGCATTTATTAATCTTAGTTAAAGCTGCAGTCGGCAAGTCTGGCAGATTAAGTGGACTTAGGCAAAATTTTGAATGTTTACAACTCTCATGCCCCTCCCCCACTATCAACGGATACCCTCCCACCGAGTTCGTGCTCGTCAGTGCGTGTGCACCAGATTATCTGTGAACGCGCCCGTCTCATCAGCATCCATCAACACCATGGAGTATTTGGAGGTATGCTGTCCTGGCTAATCTACTAATAGATTGCAATTGCTAACGTCATTTATACTCTAAATGAGCTTACTTGATTTTCCGCCATCACTCTTCGTTACTGCGCGAACTTCCGCGAACTTCAGGAGTGTGCATGTGATTGTAACGTGCGTGAGGCGTGTGCCCGATCTGTGATTGACAGTCAGATCTCACACCCCCCTGCGCTGATTGGACATGATGAACCGGGAGCTGTGGATTCTTGCAAAACAAATAACAAGCTCCAGGTGGAGTTAGAAGCTCGGGTTTTTTTCTAAAACCACTTTATTTATGTTGTTCTGTCGGATTATAGTGTCGATTTCACTGAAAATGATCAAAAAAATGTTGCCGACGGCAGCTTTAATGTTCATTTCAACATTTACTAATGCATAATTAAAATCAAAGGTTGTATTTGTTAACATTAGTTAATGAACGTGAACAAACAATAAACAGCTGTATTTTAACTAACATTAACAAAGATTACTAAATACTGTAACAAATGGATTGCTTATTGTCAGTTCATGTTAGTTAATACATAAACTAATGTTAACTAATGAACCTTATTGTAAAGTGTTACCAAACATATTAAGTTAATAACCCTCAAGGATTTGTCATGCATGAAATGATAACAATAGAAATGCAATAAATTGCAGCATAGAGGAAGCAAGCAGCCACGAATTACAAGAAGTTACAAAAACAGAAAGAAATGTTGATGCAACTGCCGAAATAAAGGGACATTCCTGGATATTATCTATTGACAGCATTTGAGAAAACGATTTTGCTTGTCCCTCAGTCTGTAAAAAAAGTTCTGGAGGGTTCCTAGCAGAAATGTGAGGCTATATATTGTTGTAATGTGAGGGCAGACTCAGAAACAAGGAGAGATGGATCTAAACACAGGTTGACTTTAATGATGGATGGAGGTAACAACAAAGGAACGCAAGGAAACAAAACTGAGAACAACCCCACACGACGTCCATGAGAGGACAAACAATAATGAACATAGGAAACACTGAGGTACAGTAAATGTTCTCAGAGGGTAACATGCTTAAAGGGTTAGTTCACCCAAAAATAACAATGATCCCATAATTTACTCATCCTCAAGCCATCCTAGGTGTATATGACTTTCTTCATCAGCCAAACACAATCGGACTTGTATTATAAAATATCCTGGCTCTTTCAAGCTTTATAATGGGAGTGAATGGTACCAAAAAAGTGCATCCATCCTTCATAAGAGTAATCCATATGGCAGGGGGGTTAATAAAGGCCTTCTGAAGCAAAGCAATGCTTTTTTGTAAGAAAAATAACCATATTTATATCTTTATTAACTATAATCACTATGGGTTCCGGCCGTACGCGAGTCTAGTTCCAGCGGAAGAGTGACCTCTGACCCGACCTATGATGTAGGAGTAGCGTAAGCTTAGGTGAGAGTAGACGCTTCTCGCGGTTCAAACAAATCTGCATCTTTTTTTACTGTTTATTCCCAATCCTATGCAATGGGAATCAATAGATCTCCATTCTACATGTGTCACTGTGAAGATGATTTCTGCTGTTTTTACAAAAAGACCTTTTCTGTGGAAATCACATGCGCTGTCGATAGAGCCGAACTTGTATTGAACCCGGAACATCCCTTTAAAAGGCACATTAATTAGTGTAAGACGTGAAATATGTATTGCTGATGGTGTGTTTGCTGTGGGACTGTCTCCTCTGCTCCCTGTGACTGAATGGAGGTTCAGTGAAGCCCAGTCTTGGATGGCTCAGATAAATCCCCAGTAAGTCTGCAGTGAGTCTTGCTGTCTGCACAAAGGTTAAGAACTGCACAGCAGCTCTTAGCAGGCCAAAATACACTCACGGTGATCTACTGCCCGTTTCCTCTGAATTCTTCTTTCCTTCTCGGCCTGGGCTTCCCCAGAGACATGCGAGGAGGAGAGGAGGGGGGGAGGACAGAAAGGCAGAACCTGATTTCACCAAGTACAACATGTTCCTCGATCAACATCTTTGTTGATACTAGAACAACATTCCAATCAACCAATCAGATTTGAGGGACAAGTTTACAGTTCAAGTTTAGGCTTACAGTCAGGGTTAGGTGCTTCGACGTCAGTGTTATTCACCTGTCATTTCCCTCTTATTTTTATGCGTAGGGTTAGGTTTAGGGGTAGGGTTAGGGTTAGAATTACATTTTTAGACAGAAATGTTGTTCCATGATCAACAAAATATGTTGACCAAGGAACGTGTCTAACTCAGCAAAAAAAGAAAAACGTTCAAAAGAAAGAGCCATGTATGTGTCAGGTTGTGTGCAGGTTGCCGAAGACGAGGACACGAGAATAGCAGTATAGTTGATTTATTTACAAACGTAACTTTCTGCGACATACAGGAACAAAAGAACAAAACTCCAGGACTTCAGAAAACACAACCATTCAAGGACGACGATCAACAAACACTGAGGGAAAACACAGGGCTTAAATGAACGGGGACTGATGGGATAATTAACAGAACACAGGTGAAGGGAATTACTAATCAGAGAGAGCGGGAAAACTAACAGGACTGAACTAAAATCACAAAAGACGGGGGTGAACAAGATCACAAAACTGAACTAATAACAAGACTAAACCAAAATCACAAATACAGGGGGAAACCAGATAACAAAACAGAACTTAAACACATAGAAACATGACAGAATGCAAAAGATGAATATTATTATAAGGAGAAGAGAGCTTTGATTGGAAAAGCAATCAGATCCAGTCATTATTTACTTGCCCTCATGTCATTCCAACACTGTTATTTTTAATCAGAATCAGTAAACCAGTTAACCAGTAAATAAAACATTTCAGTACAGTTCAAAACTGTTCCCTTTCAGTCGTTCGACGTAGTCGCCATTTTTTCTCCTCCTGTCTGAGTGGACATCCCTAGACAAAGAAAGACTCTGGCCACAGCTGGCCCCGGGGCCCCCGCAGAAATGCGTTCCCAAGTGAGCCTTCTTGCACAAAACTGTGCTAAAGCAGGGAGGAGATGGAGCAGGTCTTGCTAGTTGCCCCTTATTGGCCCAACCAGGGGTGCATTTCCCAAAGCCAACTATGGTCGCAAGTTCCGTCGTTACCAATAGAGTTCAATGGATATTGCGCTCATAGTTGGATAACGATGCTTTCGGGAAACGCACTCCAGACCTCTCCTCTCGACAGCCCTCCCTGACTCCTTCCTCTGGGTACATCCTCAGGGACGGGGCATGATGGCACCCGCGTTTAGACCTTGGAGAGTTACAGGTCTGGTTCTAAAAAGAGCGGGACGCGCAGGTTCTGGTCACTACCGCAATAATTTTTATGCCGTAGAGACCATCATTTCTGTGAGAGCACCCTCTCAAAATGAGTCTCGCTCCCCCTTGAAGTGGAACTTATTTGTTGAATTGAGTCTTGTCTCCGTGAGGAGATCCCGAAGGTGTTCAATCACTGCGGTGCTTCTTTCCTGCTAATGGGTTGGAGTGAGGCTGTCTCCTCCACCTCAAAAGGTTGTTGCCTCTGTATTGACGCACAAAAAAATAGTGTACTGATTTGTCTGCTAAATATCTCTTTCATGTCCAATTGAAATATAACAACACACAGAGTTGGAATTACTAGAGGGCGAGTAATTATTGAAGATATTCATTTTGGAGTAAGCCATTCCTTAATAGAAGGGTGAGAAAGAAGATAAAAGAGAAATGCAGCTTCTTATCAGTCGCATAGGAATCAGTGTGCATTCTTCAGATACTGGAGAACACAGAACACAACACAAAAAGGAGAACACAGAACACAACACAACGCATCCAGTTTTGATAAGACCCGAACAAAGCGTTCCAATTATTCCCCCTTCTCACTATAAACTGCCTTTGGAAACCATCACAAGAAAATACACTCAATCTCACTCACTTGCATTACACATTACAGAGGGGTGTGAAAAAGGGAAATTCCAGCTTATTTTTCATCAGTGTTTGGCCTAGAAGTTGTTTGCATTTTGAAACTCTCACTGGTGTGAGCTGGAATGGAAAGTCATTTATTTGGAAGCAATGTGGCAACCAGTCATAGACCATTCATGAAAAAGCACCATGACTTCTTGATTTTCTGATTATATTATATTATTACATTACATTATTTTATTCATTTTTACTGTTGTTAAATAATAATAAAAAAAATCTTTCATAAAGAATTTTTTTACTAAATAATAACAACAATTATGATTTATTTTATGATATTTTATGATAATTTAACAATTATTTTTATCATTATTATTATTATTATTATTAAATAAATAAATAAATTAACAAACAATAGTGTAGTTTGATACACTTTGTTCCTCAAAGAAACTGTCTGGCCTTCAAAAACTGCAATTTTGGCACAGAGAAAAGTGACAAGCTGAATATGAGTCAAGATCATTTCCCCAAATCCTTCCCACCATACCCAGAATCAGTGTGACATCACACTCTGACATCACTGTGCCAGGCACTGGGCTCTCCGAGCGGGACCACGTGACGTGAGATCTGGCTGAGATACACTCCTCACAACATGTGCTGAAGCCTAATGATGTTAGCAGTTTCCACAGAACGTGGTTATGAATCAGCGCTGGATGATTCTAAAGAGACATCAGGACACCACACTGCTGACATGTGCACTTCTAATCAGTCTGAGACAAGAAGAAAAGAAATACACTACCAAATGTTCCATGGTTTTTCTCTTTCCGTGTTTTTCAGCTTATTTTTGGCTTGTCTCTTCCCCTTTTTACAACCTTTGTGCTTCTTGAGACGCTGAGTAGTGAAAGTTGTGTCACATGATTTCTCTCTTCTGTCCTCAGTGATAATCGGTACCAAATGGCGTCACAGTTAGAGTGTGTTTCCTGGAATCCTGTGACACCCAGTGTAAAGAGGTAAAGATCAACTCTTTCCTTTCCTTTCCTTTCCTTTCCTTTCCTTTCCTTTCCTTTCCTTTCCTTTCCTTTCCTTTCCTTTCCTTTCCTTTCCTTTCCTTTCCTTTCCTTTCCTTTCCTTTCGAACATTTCCAACTCTTTCCTTTCCTTTCCTTTCCTTTCCTTTCCTTTCCTTTCCTTTCCTTTCCTTTCCTTTCCTTTCCTTTCCTTTCCTTTCCTTTCCTTTCCTTTCCTTTCGACCATTTCCAACTCTTTCCTTTCCTTTCCTTTCCTTTCCTTTCCTTTCCTTTCCTTTCCTTTCCTTTCCTTTCCTTTCGACCATTTCCAACTCTTTCCTTTCCTTTCCTTTCCTTTCCTTTCCTTTCCTTTCCTTTCCTTTCCTTTCGACCATTTCCAACTCTTTCCTTTCCTTTCCTTTCGACCATTTCCAACTCTTTCCTTTCCTTTCGACCATTTCCAACTCTTTCCTTTCCTTTCCTTTCCTTTCCTTTCCTTTCCTTTCCTTTCCTTTCCTTTTGACCATTTCCAACTCTTTCCTTTCCTTTCCTTTCCTTTCCTTTCCTTTCCTTTCCTTTCCTTTCCTTTCCTTTCCTTTCGACCATTTCCAACTCTTTCCTTTCCTTTCCTTTCCTTTCCTTTCCTTTCCTTTCCTTTCCTTTCGAACATTTCCAACTCTTTCCTTTCCTTTCCTTTCCTTTCCTTTCCTTTCCTTTCCTTTCCTTTCCTTTCCTTTCGACCATTTCCAACTCTTTCCTTTCCTTTCCTTTCCTTTCCTTTCCTTTCCTTTCCTTTCCTTTCCTTTCCTTTCCTTTCGTCCATTTCCAACTCTTTCCTTTCCTTTCCTTTCGACCATTTCCAACTCTTTCCTTTCCTTTCCTTTCCTTTCCTTTCCTTTCGACCATTTCCGACTCTTTCCTTTCCTTTCCTTTCCTTTCCTTTCCTTTCCTTTCCTTTCCTTTCCTTTCCTTTCCTTTCCTTTCCTTTCGACCATTTCCAACTCTTTCCTTTCCTTTCCTTTCCTTTCGACCATTTCCAACTCTTTCCTTTCCTTTCCTTTCCTTTCCTTTCCTTTCCTTTCCTTTCCTTTCCTTTCCTTTCCTTTCCTTTCCTTTCCTTTCGACTATTTCCAACTCTTTCCTTTCCTTTCGACCATTTCCAACTCTTTTCTTTCCTTTCGACCATTTCCAACTCTTTCCTTTACTTTCCTTTCTTTTCCTTTTCTTTCCTTTCCTTTCCTTTCGACCATTTCCAACTCTTTCCTTTCCTTTCCTTTCCTTTCCTTTCCTTTCCTTTCCTTTCCTTTCCTTTCCTTTCCTTTCCTTTCCTACCCATCCCATCCCATGAGAACATTTTTTATACCCTTCATTTTTGATATCCTCCTCGGCTCTCTTCAACTCTCGTGATCTTCTGCTCTGCTGTAATGGTGTCTGTTTTAAAGAAAGGACTGCACTCTTCTCTAGTGTAGCTCTGCACTTTGAAACAAGAGATCAGTGTGAAGTAGGAGCATGAATTATGCTGTGGTGACGGTAGGAATGAATCCTGCTCAGTCAACCAGTCCAACCAGATAGAGTGTCTGACCTTGGGTCTGGGCCATTGAGGGGTAGTGTGTTTGTGTGTGTGTGTGTGTGTGTGTGAGAGAGAGATAGAGACGGAGAGATGTTAAAATGAAGACATCCAGACTGGCTGAAGAGCAGAGGGGAAGTCCCTCTTTCGGGTTGTTTTTGAGTGATTGAGTGTGTGTGTGTGTGTGCTTGTCTAGGTCTAGATGTCCAGATGAACTCTGCCACTGGAATAGGTGACTGCGATGCTGGACAGAATATTTATGCCAGCTGTCTAGATAAAAGATTTGGGTCTCCACCTTCCTCACACCCATTGCCATGACAACAGTGTGTTTATCTGCTGAACGGATGAATGGATGGGCTGTGGGAGGACTGGACCAGCAATGGCTGATCATGTAGTCTGAAATGTGAAGTGAGTCGGACAAAGAAGAAGCTTTATAGGTCTTCAGCTCTTCATCCGTTACTCCCCACACTACAGATCCTCCTCCACGCTAACAGTCCTCCTTCGCTATCACTTATGACAGTTACGGCAGCTATTTCTGGCTATCACAACATCCTTTTGTTAATAAGGAGGAAAAGCTCATTCATATAGCAGAGCTCTCACGTGTATCTTCTTTACTGAGTCTTCTTGGTTTTAGGTTCATGTGCAATGCTATGGAAGCTTGTAATTTTATATACTTTTTATCTCCCAATTCTTTTTTCTTTGTGAGATATAAACTTATAAACCGACTTTCCCCCTTGCAATAGTGAGTTTATGTTTTGTAATTATTGCTTTATTTCTCGCGATTCCATTTTTTCTCTCTTTATTTAATTCTCACTTTATTTTTCACAATTCCGAGGTTTTAAAAAGTATAAAAGTCCAAATTTTGAGATATAACCTGCAATTACAAAAAAGTCAGAACTCCATTAAATAATTGAGAAATTCACAATTATATTTTAAAATCTCACAATTCTGACTTTTTTCTTGCAACTGCGAGTTTAGTATATCTCACAATTTTGGGAAAAAAGTTTTAAAAAAATTGTTTTTTTTGTGAGGGATAAACTCGCATTTGCGAGTCATAAAGTCTGATCTGTGAGACGAAAAGTCACAATTACCATTTTTTTTTTTTTTTTTTGTGTACTCTATGTGAGTGGTCTTGTTTGATCTGCTGTAACTGGTCTCTGTCTTTGGATTTGTGTGCAGTCACAGTGGCAGTTATGAGGCCGACCCCATGGTGTACAGCTGCAGCACACAGTATCACATACACACACATGGTGTGTTCAGAGGATTACAGGTGGGTGACCGCAAAACACAGAGACAAACTCATACATATACAGATTCAACTATGCACACACAGATGGCATTCTCAGAATTACATAATCATAAAGTGCACTGAATTATTATTTATTGCTCATAATAAACATTAAACACACACACACACACACACACACACACACACACACACACACACACACACACACACACACACACACACACACACACACACACACACACACACACACACACACACACACACACACACACTATTAAGAAGTGTATAATGTTTTATAAACACTTTACACTAACACTACCATTCAAAATTTGTCTCTTCTGCTTACCAAAGCTGTATTTATTTGAACAAAAATACAGTGAAAATAATAATATGTTGAAATATTATTACAAATGAAAAGAACTATTTCTATTGGAATATATTTTAAAATGTTGGCAAAGCTGAATTTTCAGCATCATTACTGCAGTCTTCAGTGTCACATGATCATTCAGAAATCACTCTAATATGATGAAACATTTATTATTATTATCAATGTGAAAACAGTTGTGCTGCTTCATATTTGTGTGGAAAACATACTTTTTTTCAGGATTCTTTAATGAATAGAACGTTCAGAAGAACTGCATTTAATTAAAATAAAATCTTTTTGTAAAATTAAAAATGTTTTTACTGTCACTTTTGATCAATTTGATGCATCCTTGCTGAATAATTATTTTTTTTTTAAATCTTACTGATCCCAAACTTTGGAATAAAGGTGTATATGCACTTTGTGTAATGTAATAAAGTTGGGTGTTTACTGTTGATTATTATTAATGAAAGTTCTTATAAAGTCTAACGCCTCAAATAGATAAATATCCTCTCAACAACACACACTCATGCTGGCGATGCAGTCAGGTTCAGCTCAAGGTCTCACACACACACACACACTTCCCCCTCTGCACCTCTGCCATGCGTCGAGTCCAAGGCCAGGACGGAGAGCACACACTCCTCACCTCAAGAGTAAAAGCATGTGTTTTTATTAGTCAGGCCTGTTGAAAACTGTTCAATCATGACAACTCAGTTTTGCCATGTTAATGAATATGTTATTAATTTTTTGCTACGCTGCTGCAGAGCAAGTACAGTCTTACAACTGCCTTTATATTCACAGACACACATGTAAGATAAGCTCATATATCCAGTAGCAGATTTAGGCAGGTGGAGCTGGGGGAGGTGGAGGGTTTCAGAGGAACTCTGATGTAGGAACATGCCTACAGCGAACACTGAACCAGACTATTTTAAGTTGAGCAAGCAATCTCACGTGCTGGAGAATCCGCAACGGCTACACAGCTTGTGTCGTGTGGTAATAGTGTGATTGCTGGCAGATTGCAAGTAAAGGACCCATCAGCCTGCGCCATCTAAAGTTTCACGACTGAACTAGATACATATGCATACGGAGCAGAGGAGGTGCATAAAACAGTCTCAGTAAGAGGACAGTCTGACTCTACTTCAGTCTGTAGTGTGTGACTGAACATCCATCAGTGCTTTAGAAAATTGATATTGTCCAGAGAGTAGTGTGTGTGCATGTATGTTTAGAACTTTACTTTAAAGCGTTCCCATTAAGGCCTTTAAAAGATAAACTGATATTTAACAGGCCACAAGATAAAAGGGTTTGTTGAGATGCAGAACTTATGCAGGGTTTGGAAACGCAGAAGTTCAAACAAACAAGGGCTCAAAAGTGCAGCCGAATTGGCAAATAGAGTTTGTTGATTGCCAATTATTCTCTGTTTTTGTCTTCTTCAGGATGTGCGGAGAGTACCAGGCATCACTCCCTCCATTAAATCATCAGAGAGCAGCGAGAAGCGTCCGTTCATGTGCTCTTACCCAGGCTGTAGTAAGAGGTACTTCAAACTGTCCCATCTGCAGATGCACGGCAGGAAGCACACAGGTGAGGTCCATGTGGCCCGTACAAGATGCACGCTTTTACACTTTCAGTTTGGGGTCACAAACAATCCAAACCGGTCTTTGCTTTTTTCTCTTAAACAAGATTTACAGCGTTATGCAACAAAGTCATAATTCATATGTTAATCTATTTTTTCAAACGTCCAATAAGAGTTTGGCAGACATTGACTGCAGACAGGAACTTAAATAAGAAGATGTGAAAAGTCTTTCTTCATAGCTCAAAAACATAAATTCACTCGATCAGGCCGGTGGACGTTTGAATTCTCACTTTATTCAAGTGACAGAGTGAGTCTGATAACAGTGATTCTGAAATCACAACCATGATTTGTGTGAAAAAAAAACACAGACACACACACACACACACGCACGCACGCATACACGCACACACAAACAATTCTAGACATAAACATGGGGTCAAACAACCCAAAAAGACACTTTACAGTAAACATTAATCATTGCAACACAGTTATTATTATTTGTAAAACCGTAGAAAAAGAATTTAATTCACACATAAACTGATCTAGTTCACTTTGGATAAAAGCATCTACTAAAAATGAATGCATTTAAAATGTGCATTGCTGTAAATTTTATATAAAATGATAAAACAATAAATCACCATGGATATTAACACTAACAATAAGTTTGACATTATTAACTAACATGAACTAAGGGCTTATTTCAACATATACTAATGCATTATTAAAAACACCTCACAGTTCACTAGAATTTCTCAAAAACATCTGGATTGGCCATAATTGTGACCTCACGGGATGTAGAGTGTTATAGATAAATTCGTGCCACTTGGAAAATATCAACAAAGTAAATGCTGAGTTGAAACAGCGCCCCCTCGTGGAAGCTGTAGAGACCTCAGTGTTGTCTACAGGTTTCCTCTAGTCCAGGGGTCTCAAACTCAAATTAACTGGGGGCCGCTGGAGGTAGAGTCTGGGTCAGGCTGGGCCGCATCAAGTATTCCACAAAAAAATAGTATTCAAGTATTCCAAAAAAGGAGCACAACTGATCCAATCTTCTCAATATTTATTAACGTTTCTTCTGAACTGTTCCTCTGAATTTGAACATTCCTTTCTGTACATGATTGGTTCTTCATGAGCTGTCCTTCTGACAGTTGAAGTTCATTTTACAAACTTTCTTTGTCTATAACACATATTTGTGATATTTATATTTGCTTATGTCCTTTTTATTTTCTTTATACAACACATTAATGATATTGAATGTTTTTTTTGGAAGGCACATTTCCTTTTATTATACTTAGAAAAACAATTATTGCTTTTGAAATACAAATATTTGCAGTCATGTCTGCCCGTCTTATTGAATTCTTTGTATAGTGTCTCAAATTACTGACTGCACAAATCAAAGCAAACCTTCTTATCAACCTGTTGGACACATATTACAAGCTCAAAGTGATTATTCTCACATTGTTTTAGAGCAGTGTCTCTCTCCAACACGTCGCTCGCGAGCTACCAGTAGTACCACTACTGATTGGTGGTAGCTCGCCAAGGGGCCGTTCACATATCGCGCTCACATATTTTGCGCGCTCAAGTTCGTAATTTCAAATGTAGGCGCGCGGCAAGCGCGCTCATAATTGAAGCGACGCGCTCGTTTTTTCCAGGCGCAGTATGTTTGTACTTCGCGGTTGTCTATGACAACTATTGACAACAAACCCTCCGTAAGCTGTCACGAGACGATCTATGGTAGCTCATAAGGGATACATTTTTTTTTTTTTTTTTTTTTACGCGGCACATGCAACGACGGGCCGCACTAACATTAAACTTTAATGTCAAGTAGGGGGCCACAAAATATCACCCCGCGGGCCGCAAATGGCCCGCGGGCCGCGAGTTTGAGACCCCTGCTCTAGTCTAAACACACACTAAGAACAGTTGTGGAATGATGCTGTTCTCTGTCATGTCCAGGTGAGAAGCCCTACCAGTGTGACTACACAGGCTGTGGCCGCAGGTTCTCCAGATCTGACCAGCTCAAGAGACACCAGCGCAGACACACAGGTTAGTCACGTCTAATATAAATAAATATTGGAGTTTTGTGGCTTTTAGTTCATTAGATTTGAGGTCATTTATATTCTTCACTCTTACAAATAAAGGTTCTTTACTGGCATCTTTGGTTCCTCGAAGAACCTTTAACATCAATGGACTCTTTCTGTTCCACAAAGGGTTCTTTAGATTTTTTTTAAATGTTCTCCACACTAAGATAAAATGGTTCTTTTAGGAACTGCTCACTGAAAGCAGTTTTTCTTTTTGGAAAACTAAAAAAGTTTTTTGCTATGACATCGCTGTGAAACCCCCGTTAGAACCTTTATTTTTAAAGAGATATTTTACCCCAAAAATGAAGATTCTGTCATTAATTACTCTCCCTCATGTCGTTCCAAACCCATAAGACTTTCGTTCATCTTCAGAACACAAATGAAGATATTTTTTATTAAATCTGAGAGCTTTCAGTCCCTCCATTGACAGCTACATAACTGAGACTTTGATGCTTCAAAAAGTTCATCAAGAGATCTTAAAACTAATTCATATGAATCGAGCGGTTTAGTCCAAATTTTCTAAAGAGACTCGATAATTTTATATGATTAACTGATTGAATTTAGGCTTTTATTCACATTTTAACATTGATCAATGATCAGCGAACGTAAACAGAAGCTCAACCGAACCTGCGTGAGAATGAACTTCATTGGTTCTTGCTGAAGCCCAAACGTGATGCGTAACACGAGAATGAACCTCATTGGTTCTTGCTGAAGCTCAAACGTGATGCGTAACACGAGAATGAACCTCATTGGTTCTTATAGAAGCTCAAACGTGCTGCGTAACACGAGAATGAACCTCATTGGTTCTTGCTGAAGCTCAAACGTGATGCGTAACACGAGAATGAACTTCATTGGTTCTTGCAGAAGCTCAAACGTGATGCGTAACACAAGAATGAACCTCATTGGTTCTTGCAGAAGCTCAAACGTGATGCGTAACACAAGAATGAACCTCATTGGTTCTTGCTGAAGCTCAAACGTGATGCGTAACACGAGAATGAACCTCATTGGTTCTTGCAGAAGCTCAAACGTGATGCGTAACACAAGAATGAACCTCATTGGTTCTTATAGAAGCTCAAACGTGCTGCATGACACGAGAATGAACCTCATTGGTTCTTGCTGAAGCTCAAACGTGATGCGTAACACGAGAATGAACCTCATTGGTTCTTGCAGAAGCTCAAACGTGATGCGTAACACAAGAATGAACCTCATTGGTTCTTATAGAAGCTCAAACGTGCTGCGTAACACGAGAATGAACCTCATTGGTTCTTGCTGAAGATCAAACGTGATGCGTAACACGAGAATGAACCTCATTGGTTCTTGCAGAAGCTCAAACGTGATGCGTAACACAAGAATGAACCTCATTGGTTCTTATAGAAGCTCAAACGTGATGCGTAACACGAGAATGAACCTCATTGGTTCTTGCAGAAGCTCAAACGTGATGCGTAACACAAGAATGAACCTCATTGGTTCTTATAGAAGCTCAAACGTGATGCGTAACACGAGAATGAACCTCATTGGTTCTTGCTGAAGCTCAAACGTGATGCGTAACACAAGAATGAACCTCATTGGTTCTTGCTGAAGCTCAAACTTGATGCGTAACACGAGAACGAACCTCATTGGTTCTTGCTGAAGCTCAAACGTGATGCGTAACACGAGAATGAACCTCATTGGTTCTTATAGAAGCTCAAACGTGATGCGTAACACGAGAATGAACTTCATTGGTTCTTGCTGAAGCTCAAACGTGATGCGTAACACGAGAATGAACCTCATTGGTTCTTGCAGAAGCTCAAACGTGATGCGTAACACGAGAATGAACCTCATTGGTTCTTGCAGAAGCTCAAACGTGATGCGTAACACGAGAACGAACCTCATTGGTTCTTGCTGAAGCTCAAACGTGATGCGTAACACGAGAATGAACCTCATTGGTTCTTGCAGAAGCTCAAACGTGATGCGTAACACGAGAATGAACCTCATTGGTTCTTGCAGAAGCTCAAACGTGATGCGTAACACGAGAACGAACCTCATTGGTTCTTGCTGAAGCTCAAACGTGATGCGTAACACGAGAATGAACCTCATTGGTTCTTGCTGAAGCTCAAACGTGATGCGTAACACGAGAACGAACCTCATTGGTTCTTGCTGAAGCTCAAACGTGATGCGTAACACGAGAATGAACCTCATTGGTTCTTGCAGAAGCTCAAACGTGATGCGTAACACGAGAATGAACCTCATTGGTTCTTGCAGAAGCTCAAACGTGATGCGTAACACGAGAACGAACCTCATTGGTTCTTGCTGAAGCTCAAACGTGATGCGTGACACGAGAATGAACCTCATTGGTTCTTGCAGAAGCTCAAACGTGATGCGTAACACGAGAACGAACCTCATTGGTTCTTGCTGAAGCTCAAACGTGATGCGTAACACGAGAATGAACTTCATTGGTTCTTGCAGAAGCTCAAACGTGATGCGTAACACGAGAATGAACCTCATTGGTTCTTGCAGAAGCTCAAACGTGATGCGTAACACAAGAATGAACCTCATTGGTTCTTGCAGAAGCTCAAACGTGATGCGTAACACGAGAATGAACCTCATTGGTTCTTATAGAAGCTCAAACGTGCTGCGTAACACGAGAATGAACCTCATTGGTTCTTGCAGAAGCTCAAACGTGATGCGTAACACAAGAATGAACCTCATTGGTTCTTATAGAAGCTCAAACGTGCTGCGTAACACGAGAATGAACCTCATTGGTTCTTGCTGAAGCTCAAACGTGATGCGTAACACGAGAATGAACCTCATTGGTTCTTGCAGAAGCTCAAACGTGATGCGTAACACAAGAATGAACCTCATTGGTTCTTGCAGAAGCTCAAACGTGATGCGTAACACGAGAATGAACCTCATTGGTTCTTATAGAAGCTCAAACGTGATGCGTAACACGAGAATGAACCTCATTGGTTCTTGCTGAAGCTCAAACGTGATGCGTAACACGAGAATGAACCTCATTGGTTCTTGCTGAAGCTCAAACGTGATGCGTAACACGAGAATGAACCTCATTGGTTCTTGCAGAAGCTCAAACGTGATGCGTAACACAAGAATGAACCTCATTGGTTCTTATAGAAGCTCAAACGTGCTGCGTAACACGAGAATGAACCTCATTGGTTCTTGCTGAAGCTCAAACGTGATGCGTAACACGAGAATGAACCTCATTGGTTCTTGCAGAAGCTCAAACGTGATGCGTAACACAAGAATGAACCTCATTGGTTCTTATAGAAGCTCAAACGTGATGCGTAACACAAGAATGAACCTCATTGGTTCTTGTAGAAGCTCAAACGTGATGCGTAACACGAGAATGAACTTCATTGGTTCTTGCTGAAGCTCAAACGTGATGCGTAACAGAAGAATGAACCTCATTGGTTCTTGCTGAAGCTCAAACGTGATGCGTAACACGAGAATGAACTTCATTGGTTCTTGCTGAAGCTCAAACGTGATGCGTAACACGAGAATGAACCTCATTGGTTCTTGCAGAAGCTCAAACGTGATGCGTTACACGAGAATGAACCTCATTGGTTCTTGCTGAAGCTCAAACGTGATGCGTAACACGAGAATGAACCTCATTGGTTCTTGCAGAAGCTCAAACGTGATGCGTAACACGAGAATGAACCTCATTGGTTCTTGCTGAAGCTCAAACGTGATGCGTAACACGAGAACGAACCTCATTGGTTCTCCCACAAGTGACCATGCTTGAGCTTCTGTTTACCACAACTGATGTGTGCGTTGAGGAATGTTTATATGAGAATAAAAGTTCATCCTAAATTGAATCTGTTCATCATATAAAGTGATCGTGTCTCTTCTGAAAATGTTGGACTAAACCGCTCAATTCATATGAATTAGTATTATGATCTCTTGATGAACTTTTTGAGGCGTCAAAGTGTCAGTAGTGTAGCTGTGTATGGAGGCACAGAAAGCTCTCAAAAATATAATTTGTGTTCCGAATATGAACGAAAGTCTTACGGGTTTGGAACGACAGGAGGGAGAGTAATTAATGAAAGATTATACTCTGTTTGGGCGAACTAATCCTTTAAGAGTATAATGTACCCCTAAAACATTCATTACATATACTTTTAGCATGTAGCATTAAAAGCTTGAACTATTAGAACGTAAAAGTCACAGTCTTTCCAAAATATTGCTGACTCATCTTGTACTCAGGGGCGTATCCAAACTTTTGTCCAATCAAATGCTGTAGAATTAGATAGCCCCACCCACTAATCCATCAGTTTGATGAAGTATCTGAAGCCCACCGCAGCTGTCTGTCTCTCTGTCTGTCTCCTGCTCTCTTCGGTCCTGTAGGCGTCAAACCCTTTCAGTGTGAGACATGTCAAAGAAAGTTTTCACGCTCAGACCACCTTAAAACCCACACTCGGACTCATACAGGTAAAACAAGTGCGTACGCTTTTTTAACTTCTCAAGAACCATTTGATCAATTGGTTTCATATGAATTGTTTGCATTATAGCACATCAGTGAAGTGTGTTGTGTTTCCTCTGTCGTGGTTCTCAGGCGAGAAGCCGTTCACGTGCCGCTGGCCCAGCTGTCAGAAGAAGTTCGCTCGCTCAGATGAGCTGGTCAGGCATCACAGTATGCATCAGAGAAACATGAACAAGTTCCAGTCTGCTATATGAGACACTGTACATACACACACACACACTGTATATAGACACTCAGTAGTGAAGACCTGTCAGTCAGTCAACTACAGCGGTGACATGAAATGCAACTGTACTACATTATCAAAGCATCCCTGTAAGAAACAAATGTTACTGAATGCATACAAATATGCACTTATAAAGGAAGTTTTGCCATATTGTATTTGACATGGGAACTCTGTCTGGATTATTTTGGATCATCTCAGTTTGTACATAAGAATTTAATTTTTTTTTTTTTTTTTTTTTTTTTTTTTTTTGATTCAGTTGATTCCACTGGGTATACTTAGTTTATATACTTAGGGTAAGATAGTCACTTGAATTCATTTCTTAATTTGGAAAATAAGTGTAAAAATCATATGCACTGTAATGCCTTTGTATATATTAATTGTCAAGTGAAACAGTCTTTCTTAAAAAAAAAAAAAGCCTTTTATAATAAACTACATTTAACAAAATTCTCAGGACATCAAGTGTTTTCATTAGGAGGGAACAATCTAATGGTGGAATAATTTCACTCAATTGTTAAATTATAATTTTATACATGAATATATAATGTATGCATATATGCATGAATAAAATTATAATTTGACATTTGTGTGAAAATAATCCACCAATAGATTGTCCCCTCCTTATATGGGCCTGTTTAATGCAAATTACTACTTGTGGCGAGGGAACATGCTCCCTTATTTAGAATAATAATTTTGTGCAAATGGAGGATTTTGTGAGAACTTTTTCTGCGCACAGAAATAATACGAGGTTAGAAATAATACATAAATTGTATGAGGTTATTAGTCAGTGAGGGCAAATCTCCTTAAAGAGATACACCACTTTTTTTGGAAATAGGCTCATTTTACAACTCCCCCAGAGTTAAACTGTTGAGTTTTACCGTTTTTGAATCCATTCAGCCGATCTCCGGTTCTGGCGGTACCACTTTTAGCATAGCTTAGCATACATCATTGAAGTGGACAAGACCATTAGCATTTCTATAAAAAAAATTACCAAAGAGTTTCGATATTTTTCCTATTTAAAACTTGACTCTTCTGTAGTTACATCGTGCACTAAGACCGACGGAAAATGTAAAGTTGCGATTTTCTAGGCTGATATGGCTAGGAACTATACTCTCATTCCTGCGTAATAATCAAGAAACTTCACTGCCGTACCATGAGAGCAGCAGGCGTAATGATATGACGCAGCGCCTGAAATAGTTCCGTTGTGTTGACGGAAGGTAGCCTATTTTCAGGCGCTGCGTCATATCATTTCTTGATTATTACGCAGGAATGAGAGTATAGTTCCTAGCCATATCAGTCTAGAAAATTGCAACTTTACATTTTCCGTCGGTCTTAGTGCACGATGTAACTACAGAAGAGTCAAGTTTTAAATAGGAAAAATATCGAAACTTTTTGGTCATTTTTTTTTTTTTAGAAATGCTAATGGTCTTGTCCACTTCAATGATGTATGCTAAGCTATGCTAAAAGTGGTACCGCCAGAACCGGAGATCGGCTGAATGGATTCAAAAACGGTAAAACTCAACAGTTTAACTCTGGGGGAGTTGTAAAATGTGCCTATTTCCAAAAAAAAGTGGAGTATCCCTTTAAGCCAATCATTAAAAACAAGAAACTTTATGCAGTGACAGATATGTTCATATATATATATATATACACTACCGTTCAAAAGTTTGGGGTCGGTACGATTTTAAATACTTTTAAAAGAATTCTCTTCTGCTAACCATGGCTGCGCTTATTTGATTAAAAATACAACAAAAATCAGTTATAGTATTAAATATTATTCCAGTGTAAATCAGCTGTTTTCTGTGTGAATATATAGTAAAGTGTCATTTATTCCTGTGATCAAAGCTGAATTTTCAGCATCCCCAGTGTCAGTGTCTTCAGTGTCAAATGATCCTTCACAAATCAGTATAATATGAGGATTTGATGCTCAAGAAACATTTATTATTATTATCAATGTTGAAACAGTTGTTGGTCTGTCAGTTGTACAGTTTTTTTTTTTTTTTAGGATTCTTTGATGAATAGGAAGTTCAAAAGACTTTTGTAACATTATAAATGTCTTTACTGTCACTTTCGATCAAATTAATTATTCCTTGATAAATAAAAGTATTGATTTCTTTCCTCCAAAAAATAAAAATAAAATTCTCACTGACCCCAAACTTTTGAACGGTAGTGTATATATATATATAAAGGAGAAAGACCATAAACCACAAAGATGTGCCCAACATATGACTGCTCAAAGCTGACCATTGAATCAGTGTGATTTCTTTGAACAAAAAATATGCAACGAAAGGGAATAATTTCTCCCAAAAGATGGTTTGGAGCATTTATTAAAAACAGTGTACAAAAACAAAACTGCATACAAACATACACCAATGTGAATACAAGCAAGCAAGACCCCAGAAAAAGTTGAAGAGAAATGTTCGTCCACTGAGGACATTCTGTTCGCTCAGTGTGGAGTCATGTCTATGTACATATCTAATCCTCGTCCTGTTCAGCAAACACTGTATAGCGCCACGGTTTGACTTCACTGCACAAAAACTGTTAATGATTGTCCTAAAATGAATGAGCGCCCACTCTGAACACATGCATAGATCAGGAAGACAGTCTGGGCTTTGAATGGCCTTCAAGTTTCTATATACAAAAAGACAAAATGCTACTAAGAGACCAAACTTTGCATTTGCATGATTTCTTATTGCCACTATTAAACACAGAATTGTTCAAAGCTTATCAGGTGTGAAAGTTTGACTTGTTCTTGCAGGGGGGAAAAAAGATCAAAAAAAAAAAAAAAAAAGCAGCAAGATCTCTTCAAGATCAAGGAATAAAAATGTAAATCTTGCTTAGACAAATGAATATATACATACACGTACATTCAAGCTTCTAGAAATCAATCGCATTTACGTAACATTACAAATGACAGCCTAGACTAGAATAAAGTGCATTATTGCCCAGAAACACTTTGCCACAACGGAAGGGTCTTCTCGTCTTGAGGCAGCAGGCGTTGTGGAGAGGTCAGCGGGAGAGGTCGTCATCTTCAATCATGTATCGTCATCTTAAAATTACATCAGACGTTCCAATCAGAAGTCACAGTTCCCAACATGAACCCTGATTCGCCGGTTAAGCTCCTCCCCTGCCAGCAAGCAAGGAAAAGCAGGTCTTTCATTGGTTCATTCAATGAAAGGAGCTGATTGGTCGAGAGGTTTGGCGGATGGACGGCAGCTCTCAGCGGTTCCTCACGCTGTCATCTTCATTCGTCCTATGAACAAAGACAAAAAGGGTGGGAATTACATACACAATGATGAAGCTTTTCCAGTTTCCAGGAGATACAGGGCTTATACAGCACACTGTTGCAATGGAAACCACACAACAGATGAATCATCTTCCATTTAGATGTCAACTTCTGCACACTATTTTTATCATGTTTTGAGCACTACAAAGCTCGTCTTACGGTTCAGACAGTGGCAGGATTTAGTTTTTGTTATTCATTACTCAGGAGACACACTCGCTCTGTTGATAAACCTAGTAAGGTGCATCATCCCTACACAATGTACACCACGTTATGGCCAAATTGTAAAGGCAGCATTGCATGTTGCATGATCCAAGATTGTGGGAAAAACAAGAGAAATGTTGACAATAGAGTAAAAGGTATTCATAAAATGTGTTCAGATTTAAGACCTGTCCAGACCAAGTCGAATATTTGGTGTGATAAACATTTGAATGAATAGCTGTTAAAGGGATAGTTCACTTTGAAATTAATTTTTGGTATGTTTTAGCTTACCTCAAGGGCATCCAAGATGTAGGTGTCTTTGTTTCCGCAGTAGTTTCAATTTTTATATTTTTAGGTCAAACCGTTCTTGTCTGTCAGTCATATAATGCAGGTCTATGGTCACCACCTCAAAGAGCATGCACAGAGAAGTCCAAATTAAACATGATTTAATGACTCGTTAATGTAAGTACACATTGATGGCCTAAGACACGAAACGAGCGGTTTGTGTGAGAAAACGAACAGTATTTATATCGTTTTTACCTCTTGTAACCACAGCCACGACCAAGTGATCTGAGGGCGCGGGCGCTTCGGTCTGTGCGTTACAAGAGGTAAAAACGATATAAATACTGTTCGTTTTCTCACACAAACTGCTCGTTTCGTGTCTTAGACCATCAATGTGTACTTACATTAACGAGTCATTAAATCATGTTTAATTTGGACTTCTCTGTGCATGCTCTTTGAGGTGGTGACCATAGACCTGCATTATATGACTGACAGACAAGAACGGTTTGACCTAAAAATATAAAAATTGAAACTACTGCGGAAACAAAGACACCTACATCTTGGATGCCCTTGAGGTAAGCTAAAACATACCAAAAATTAATTTCAAAGTGAACTATCCCTTTAATGCATCTGTTCAGATCGACACAAACATTTGCATGTGGTCATTGCAACAGTTTTTTTTTTTTTTTTCTAATCTCTTTTTCATGGAAAATGGAAATGAGATTCCTCTGTATTACTGTACATCAAGGTAGCTCACTAGGTCTTTGGAACAGAGCTACTGTAATCACTACTGAACATTTCTGTGACTCATTTATTCTCACATGGTAACAATGAAAATCACATTTGTCACAAAACATTTTTGTTATCCTTTGTCACCACCACAGGGCAGCCCAGCCAACCAAAAGCAGAGCTGTAGGTGAAGACAAAGAAAAATAACAACCAAACTCTTTTTCGCCACTCTCTTACTCACACACATAAAAATGAACAAAGACAAACAGTGAATACAGTGCACAACTCCAAAAAACACAAGACAACAGGTACACACAGTAAGCTTGTACAAGACCAAACAAAACAAGAAAAGACAAGAACAAAACAGCAGCTGATCCCAATTCACACACACACACACAAAGCTTCCTGGGGTTAAAGGCGCTGTGTTAGATGGGTGGGCATTGACGAGGTGACACGTGGGGCACCATGCCATGCTGAGCGTTTCATGCCAAGCGACCAACCACATAAAACCCCACCTACCTGCCCACCGTCCCCAACCAATGGGCTGCTTCTGTCTACCTGACTATCTGGAAACCAACCAATTACAGCGTCACAATGCAAAGAACAAACGTCCCTTTCACATAGTGTGACCTGTACTAAATGTTCCATGTCAGATGTTTATCAAGGCTGCTGTTATGACATTATTGCATTATTATATCAGATTATTTGCAAAAAGTTCCATCAGAATCTTATATAAGGTGGTGTGTTTGTCATCAAGTGACCATGGGCTTTAGAGTGAGTGTCTCTCGGCTCACCTGCGGACAGCTGACTGTGGGACCTGCGTCGGGTGCTGGGGGTTTTAGAAGTGGAGGAGAGGGTTGAACCTGCGCTGCTGGCCCTTGAGATGGGGAGGGGCACAGGGGTCACGGGAGGAGAGTCCAGCTACAGCAGAAAAACAACCATTATTTTGTGATGTTGTCCTGCATTTATAGGGCCCTATGAAATGTAATCACAAATAATAATAAAAAAATGTATTTGAATTTTTCTTGATTTCGTTTTAATTGCCAAATTAAATTTTAGTAATACATTTTTTCTTTTTTGGATAAAAATGTATTAAAAGTTACATTTTAGGGCCCTATGAAATCAGTTTTTTCCCCCCCCAAAGTTTCCAATTTTCCTTTTTGAGTTTTAAATTTCTCCCCTGAGTTTTGATTTAAAATGTTTCTCTATTATTCTGTTTTAATGGTTAAATTAAATGTTAGTAATCCAAAAGCATGTCCAATTAATTCAAATCATTTCATAGTTTCACAAATTCCAAATTTTCTGGATTCCATTTTAATGGTTTTATTACATTTTAATAATCAGAAAGCATGGCTACTAAATTGAATTCACACTTTAATTTTTCTTATTAATTTTTTGTACAATAATAAGGCCCTATAAAATGTTTTATTTTTTCATAAATTATCTGTCATCTTAATTTTTGGGTTCATGATTTGATTACTTGGGTAATCAAATGAAGGCAAAACAATTTACAATTAACAATTTACTTAATATTTTAAAATGTAACCAAACACGTCTGCACAACAGAGGTTTACTGTTATCACAGTGTGCTACATCTTCAACTACTTTAGACAAACAAAAGACTGAGTTTGGATTGTGTTGCCTTTGTGAGCACTACAACTCAAGTTCCAACACAAATCTTATTTTAAATATAAACCGGAGAGGAGGGAAAGTGGAACAGTGAGTGTATTGTGGCCCACTGCAGTAACTTCAAAGTTGTGGGTGAAGGATTGAGACCTTTCATTCAGATCTCAGAGATGTTTTTTCCAGACATGGACATGTGAGAATATGACTAGTTGTGATTGTGTACCTCCACGCTGTCATGAGTTGGTGAGGAGGATGTCGAGGAGTTCTCTGCTTGGCGGCGTGAGGAAGACGAGGGGCCGATCTCAACGGTCCGAACACGCTGAGCAAACTTCAGAGAGCACACCGACTCGCTGACGTTACTCTCTAGAGGAGACACCTGAGACAGAGAGAGGAACATCGCAGTTTAACTGGTGTGAGAAGCTGCATCCCAGAGAACGGGAAACCGCAGGCTAATCTAACATGACAGCATACAAAGTGTTTCATTTCTCAGTTATTTAATGTTGGCTTTATGTACCTGCATTGTGTACAGTGAGCTATGATATCAGCATTTTCCCTGTCCATGTGGCTCTGGTTTCATCAGCAGTTTGTTAATAAATAAAAATTAATCTTATGACGTGAACAGCTTTGAGTAGAATGTCCTGTATTGTCATCTAGTAATTATGAGACGGTGCGAACAGGCAGCTTAACATCCACTGGAAAATTGTACACAAAGTGACCAGGAACATTTATTGGCAAATTAAATGCGTTTTGATTTCATTTCGTCTTAACTACAACCGACTTTATGATTCCATAAGTCCATGACAAAGTTCTCTTTCTGTGGCGATTAGCTAGCATAAAACAACAGGAGAGTGTGTGCACAAAACAGCTTAAGATACTGTGCCTGCTCATGCTGTACAAAGCACAGTCTTTATCCCATAAATCCATTATAATCCACTCAAAACGTGTGGAGATTTCGAGCACACTGAGTGCCATTGTAACCCTGCTGACGTGACACACCTGCACCATCATGAGGGTCTTGCTGTCTCCGCTGAGCGAGTCCTGCAGAAGGTACGTGAGGCGGGAGTTCCTGAAGGGCACGTGCGAGTGTTTGGAGCGCAGGGCGTTGATGACATCACCCAGCGCCGACAGTGATTTGTTGATACACTGAGCCTCACGCAGACGACTGCCCTCGGCGCCGGATTTGGCAATCCGTTCTGAACCGGCCAGATCCACCAGATTTAGCTTACCTGCAATTGACAAGTGATTGTTTCATATTTGCATTTCAATTGAACTGTGTTGAAAACTATTGAAAAGGACTGTGTGTACCTGAGGTGCGGTGGCCCGTTGAAGAGTTGAAACCCGCCACTGTGACGATAAGGAGGGCATGAGAGCGAGAGCTGTGTTCGTTTAGATTAGTGCATGCTGTTGCCCTGTTCATGTGACCCAGGTCGAACACCTGCAGAGTCAAAGGTTATAAATAACGGATTAGGCTAAAATGGGTTGACGCTTGTCTGTACGACAAGACCTTGCACTGGAGCACTGAATATTTAATATCTTGGCGGATTCTCTCAGAGGGCATTAACACAGAACTAGCTTCACTTTTCTAGCTATTTTTGTAGTTATTAGTATTAAACTGTAAAAATGTTGGTAACACTTTTAATTGTCCTTGTTACGTGTTCTTAGAGTACTATAGTAATACCAGTAAATGATGCTTTTATATTTAAATTAAGTATATTTTTACAGTTTTCAGCAGAGTAACTATGACAAAATCCACAAACTGGCCTAACAAGCACATTTTTTTGCTTGAAAAGTATGCATGTGCTTCCTTTTCCTTGAAAAAATTATAATATTTTGGGTCTCACTTTATATTAAGTGTCTTTAACTACTATGTCCTAACATTTGAATTAATCAGTTAATACATTGTTTTTACATTGTACTTATACTTAAAACAGGGTTCTCAAGTCTCATGCATTGGCCGTGAGACACACGCAATTCAACCAGTTCACACGCTCACACGCCACACCGTGTATATCTCACGCTGAAAAGGCAATGCCAACCAAGTTGTCCTGCCAGCTTTATATATAACGTTGTATACGAGGCGCATGCACACAAAGATAAGTTTCCTGCCACCAGCGCGTCCGCATCTCGGCCAGATTGCGTTCGTTACTAGGCAACTTATAGACGTGCGAAGTCCGCGAGCACACACGGAAGTTCGGCCACCGCGACATCGCGCGAAAACACGTCGTGATGGAGAATGTAAGTTGGAAGAAAGCTCGCCTAACATTTTTAGACTAGAACATTTAATATATAGCCCATCATATACATTATTGAAGCAGTCAAAAACTCTACAACTTCTTTGCAACCAGGCCAAAAGCTTTGGCTCAGTTTGGCTAAGGAAATGTTATTGGGTATGGGAAGGAATGAAGATTTATTTCTTCAGTTTATTTTAAATTCTATATTATACTGTATTAATAGTATTTCTAGTTACATTAAGGCTAAAGCAGAGTGCTCTTGGTAATTTTGTATATCCTGTCAAAACATACATTAGCCTAATCATTGCCATTGCATTTGTATTTTTCAAAGATGTCAGGGAAAAATGCAAAAATATTTGTTTTTCCAAACATTTTGGAGCAATTTGTTATATATTTGTAGCCTAATTTTGAAATATAACATTAAAGAGTAGGCCTATATTTGATGTGATGAATTGCTCTGTCATTTATCAGATTTACCAATTGTTATAATTTCAATTTTTGCTGGTTATGAACAATGGGTAAAATTGGGGGTGGGGCTAGGTGGGGGCGGGGCTCCATTTAGGCCCCTCCCCTAACCGCATGTGATCTCACTTCAAGCTTTTGATAAAACTTGAGAACCCTGCTTAAAAATTACCTGCATGTAATACCGCTGTAATTAATGTAATCACATTACAATTACTGTTACTGTTGACCCTTCCCTTCCCTTTTAACCCACTCTTAATCTTCACCTACAAGTGTTTTGCAATACAAAATGAACGCAAAGTACATTGAACCTAATTGTGTTATCTAATGTTATATTCCTTTGGACTATAAGTGTGGAGTAACGGCATGCGGTTTGGATGCAGTGAGCTTTCACCTTGTTAATGTCCTCCACGCTCTCCACTGTGAACTCTGTGAGTCCTGGCACATACAGCTGTCCACTGCCATCTGGACACATCTTTATATCCAGCTTCTCATTGGGATTGTCACCCAACAGGTTTCTAAAAACAGATTCAGATAAATGCAAATGAATAAAAGCTGCTGCATTAGGAAGCATTGCTGAAACTCAACAACAATCTGTTGGAAGTTGCAGAAGTTTTTTCCCCTATTGTGACGTATATCAGAGTGAAACTGCTTCTCAAACAAGAACATTTTTAGGATGGGTTTTGATTTAGTCCATTGGGAATTGATTGGATGGTTGTGGTTTGCTATTGGTCGATCTTCCAACCCTCATGCCAGTAAATACTCCATCAGAGAAGAAGAGACGTCAATGCAAGAGGGAGGGGAAGCCATTTTGTTTAAAAATTACTAGTGTATATGAATTTGGGGCACAGATTAATATTACAGAGGCAAGCAGAATCAGAACCTACACACATCTGTTCGAGTTGCGTAACCCATCAGGAGGGGGAAAAGTGAGGGACAGTGTGACAAACAGACAGGACCAGCAGAACTGAATGCGTGATCTGTGATCCGTTTGTGTCTTACAGATGGCCTGAGAGATTTTAAATCTAATCTGTTTTTACATAACTGCTGACCAGCAGAATTTGTGGCACACACACACTTCACAGTGACACTGGGACAATTATATAAGAGTGCTGAATATGCTGCAGTGTGTCTGGAGTGACGTGCTCACAGCCGCTCACACACTGAAAGCCCATTTAGAGAACATTTGATAATCATCAAATTCAACCTCCTACTTCCACTGTGTGGTTCTACTTGTGTGTGGTTTTCTCACCGAAGCGTCTCATTGTAGATTTCCACCATGCTGACAGTGATCTTATAGTCCCAGTCAGGCTTTTTCTCAGACACTTCAGAGAAGAGCAGCCGCAGAGCACGCTGGTTAATGCCAGGGTCCTCAGGGACCCCCTAGAGGACAAACAGAGACATGAAGTAAGTACAAAAATTTGCCAACTTATGAACTGCACTGTATGTATCTACTTTGATAATGTGCACTGATTAGACATTTCACAAATATGAAAGGGACAGACATCACAGTCAATGCAGTTAGCATACCTCCATAGTGTAGGTCTTTCCAGAGCCGGTTTGCCCGTAAGCAAAGATGCATATGTTAAAGCCATCAATACAGGAAGTGACCAAAGACTGGACTTCCTGGAACACCTGTCCAATCACAAGAGAAGGGACTGTATAATAACTGACACAGGAAATACATCCATATGAGAAACAATGAGTTCAGGCACTAACCTCCTCCTGAGTGGCCTGAGTGGGAAAGACTTTGTCAATTTCAAAGGTCATGAGCTTCCCCTTATTGGATAAGTAGAGAACTGCATCATCATCAGGGTCAAAGGTCACTAGGTTTTTGGTGTCAGCAGCATCTGTTTCTCCAGCACACACGGGGCGTACGCGACACAACACACGAATGTTTCCTGAAAAAACAAGAAGTCTTCCTAATTAGAATGTAAATATCTAATTTGATTAAAATTAATTAGACATTTTGTGGAGATTATGCATCCCAGACACGATTCCCAGGTCTCACCTTTGAGGCGCACCAGTTCATTGTGGCATTTCTTCCTCAGGTTCATCTCCCGCTTATATTTCCGCAGCAGTTCTTGGTTTGCACTGCTCACCTCTCCAATCACCTGACAGATCTGTAAATCACAGACAAAGCTCAATTCTTAATGAGAGGCAACGAAGACACAAAGAAATAAAACGCCATCATGCTTTAAAGAAGAGATTAAGTGGTGGAAATGACGGATGATGGGCACAGAATGAATATTGAATTTTATATATAATATATACACTTTTCAATTGTAGTCTTTTAAAAAAGCATCTAAAATAATAAACTAAGCACAATGTAGTGTTGTCAAAAATATAGAATTTTCAATACATAGATACTGAAATATCTGAAACAGTTCCAATTCTCATTTTCTGCAGAATATATACACGACACCAGTTGCGCTTTCTCACTCTCTCATCTCTCCGACAGAGAACTGTTTACACACAAACCTGCCTCCCCTCACTCACTCGTGGGATTGTGTGTATTGCGCATAATTTTACGCAGATTTTGTGCACGCACCCAAAGTGCCCGCACATAAAGTCACCTCTCAGTACTAAATTGTGTTTTAAAAAAAAAATTGCGTTCAAACACACAAAACAATGTCAAAATGCCGGTCTTGGTAAGTATTCAGGTAAACACAGTCAGTTATGTTTTAAGTGAACGTAAACAGTTGAAAGAGAAAACGCATAATGCTGAGTGGCTTGTAACTTTGGAAAACTACTAGCCACAGTGGCTGGTGAGCAAAAAAGTTAAAGTCAAGCCCTGATCATATCCCTTTTTTATTGTTTCATTTAGTTTTTTATTATATTATATTAAACAATGTGTGTATCTGCTATTTTGAGCAAAATAAAAATGACAGTGACTTGTTATGCTCTGCAATTTTGACTAAACTTCCACCAACACAGGCGTTGTGTTTTGTTTATGTTTGGAAGGCTGCTCCTCATAGCACTCTCTTGCCATGTCCTCTTATTAAAGCATTTTTGGGCATGTTGTTTGCACTTGCCTCATTAAGAGATCAAGTTTATGGAGTTATTAAAGTGGGCAGGTGGGGTTCGCAATACATTTTTTTTTATTTTCAATATAAAGCTTTTGAATTTATTTCGGTTTATTACGTTTTTTCTATCATGATCTGGCAACATGAATGAGGTGAGGCTTGTACCTCTTCCCCTGTGATTTTATTGCACCGCGCATACAGATGAGAGACACATCCCTTATGCACATTTAAATACACCATTAACAACCAGTTTGGTTCCATACACACTGCATATAATTTTTGTGAACTGTGTGTGTGTGTATAGAACATGATTAAGCACTAAAAGGTGAACTGACACACTGCATATAATTTTTGTGAACTGTGTGTGTGTGTATAGAACATGATTAAGCACTAAAAGGTGAACTGACAACTGAATTTAGCTGCAGTGTGTACGAGCTGTGGTCAGGCTGGTGTGTCTGTGTGCTTGTATGCGGTGGTCTCACCTCCTGCTTGGCCTCAGTGATGGCTTTCTCCAGCATGTAAGGGAAGTCCTGCACCTGTCTCTTCAGACAGTTGTAATCACAGGTGAGGGTTCTCAGGGCCGGCTGCAGGGTCAGGAGGTTCATCCGCACACCTGCACACACAGACCATTAGAGCCAGTTGTAGTTCATGTTTACCACAAGATCAAAAGACAAACAGTAAACTTTATCAAATGAAATGGTAACACTTTATAATAAAGGTCTCATTTGTTACCATTAGTTAATCCATTAACTAAGTATTAACAAATGAAACCTTATTGTAAAGTGTTACCAATTAAATATATGAAAATTATATCAAATGAAGGCAATTTGAGAGTCATAACTATATTTTTTTGCATTGTGATATTATTTATAATTTTTATTTGTTTGTGCCAGCTTTGTTTTTGCCATTTCCAATACCCTCAAACAGTGATTCTGATTAAGGCGAAGAATCAATAGGGTTTACTCCAAATGAACACACATTTTTTGACTAAAAGCCCAGAGGAATGTTGTTTATTAAAAGTCTCTGTTTGATGAGTCCAAAAATGGAATCTCAAGACACATGGTTAAGATTAAATAAAGAGCAATTACGAAGCAATAAAAAAACTGCATATGTATACAAGTCTTTAAAAATACTACAGTAATAAAATATGATTTTAATGTAATTACAATTTTAATATAAAGCAGCAGAGGCCTATACATATTTTAGTTTAAATATATTTTTGGTTAAACTTTATTTTAAAGGTGTCCTTGGTACACAAATAAGTACTGAGTAATATTAATTAAAAACATGTACTAACAACATGTAGAGTTAGGGTCTATACTAAGTACATGAAATGCGTAACAAGTGTTTCCTATTTTTTGCATTGAGGCTGAATTTTCATGAAAATAATGTCACAATGCAAGACATCTTTAAGGTCCTAATGGGACAATATAATTACTAATTTCTTTTTTTGATTTGAAGGTTAAACACCGTCTCACCTGCTAGGTTCTCATGGACGGCCTTCATCTCACTCTCCGCTCTGATGAAAGCATCTTCGATCACTCTGTTCTTCTCCTCCTCCAGAGTCTGCATCTCTGCCTCCAGCTGGCCCTGAGCTCTCTCCATCTCACCCTCATACACCAGGATCTAACACACACACACGTCAACACGGAGGTTACACTGAGGTCATAAGCTCTATTCAAACGGTGAATGTTTTACACAAGGATTTACATAAAAGGTCATTTACACCATAAAGGGATAGTTCACCCTAAAATGAAGTCATCATTTACTCACCCTGGTGTTGTTCTAATCCCGTAAGATCTTTCTTTTATGGACCACAGAAGGAGAATTTTTAACAAAACAATATCACACTCGCGCTTGTCCATATTATAAAGGCAGGGAATAGCAACCAGCATCAAGTTTTTTTTAAAAGACGCAAAAGTATCACAGAATGATCCCATGCGACGTGCAGGATATTCCAGGTGTTCAGTGGGTGTACGATAGGGTTTGGTGCGCTTTTGTTAATCTTGATTTATCACAAATTGTGTGCTTTTTCTGGGCGAGATAGAGTGAACTACTAGTCTCAAGAACATAGAATGATCCCAATCAACACATGTTGTATATTCTGTGATACTTTAGCATCTTTTAAAAAAGCTTGCGAGCAGGACATTTAAAAAAAAAAAAAATCTCCTTTTGAGATCCATAAAAGAAAGGAGGACAGCATTAGAACAACACCAGGGTGAGTAAATGACTTTCATTTTAGGGTGAACTGTCCCTTTAATAGAGCTTTTACAATGACAGTGAGTAAATTTGCAACTCACTGTATGATTGATATAGTTCAGTACAAACAGCTATAATCAACCAGAGTCACTGTCAGTGTAAACACCCCTATACAGATGTACACACAACCGATGAACACAGATGCACAGAGAACACCTGCTTTCTGCTTTCAAGCAAAGCCAGTTATGATTTCTGAGATCTCTGACCAAAGCAACACAAACACCACCAGCATTAAAGACGTCATCTACTACTGACCACAGTCATTTGTAAGACAGATTTAATGCAGTTAGGTGAAGTGACCTGTGGGGTGGGTGGGTGGGAGGGCTATTAGTCACATACTTGGGAGAGGCATCTGGGGTCACACACCATCGATACTGTACATCTGCAGTACACAACGGAGTGACATCAACTATTTCACAGTAGATCATGGGAATACTATTGCAAGAACACAAAATTACGACCCTGAAGAGAATGTGAGCTAGTCACTCTGCAAAGTTTCAGGGTTTCATAGGTCAAAAATGAGCATCAGCGAACATTAATCTACATTTGCAATAAGCGCTTAAAATGGGACATAGAAACCTCATATATATGATTTCCTATAAAGTTGCAATCTGACCCATGACACATTTTTGACCTTTGACCCCTGCCGACTGCAGAGTAATCTGGTTGACCTTGGAGAGCCTGTGGGTGACCTCTGTGTTACCCCCACCCACCGCCTTGGAGAGCAGACCATATAGACGGCCGCGGTCCATCCTCAGCTGCAACGCAAGTGAAGAGAGAGAGCTGTTAACCTGCTCTTCCACAACACCGCAATCACAGAGGCCTTCAACTAGATTTGAATGAAACCCAGTCAGGAATGTTACGGAATCTGGTAAAAGTTGGATGAATAAATAAAAGTAGAGCTGTAAATTTAATGTCTGCATGTTCTGCGTGTCTCTGTGTCTACTACAGATACTCAAGCATGAGTGACGCTCGTGGTGTTTCAGCGTCCGCTGTCTCACTATATCAGGACATGAGCACATGAACTTCACCTCCGGAGCTGCTCTGACAGTCACTTCACCAGCATTTCAACATTTAATTTGAGAAAACTATCATCAGACACAAAGGGCTTTGCAACAACCAGTAAAAAAAAGAAGAAGTTTGGTTTAACTTTCAGAAATGATGAATTATATTACTAGTGCACAGTAACATGCACTTCTCAAAATATTAACATAAGTAATAATACAGTTTAATAAAACTTTATTTTTACAGAATACCACACAATAAAAATGTTCCTCCAAGTTTTAATTTAAAAAAGTAGAATTATGTCGTGCAGCACTTTGCCAAATAAAGAACATAATTGTTCAAATTTAATTTATTAATTTATTTAGTATTAAATCATAAAAAGTCAAAACTGTTAAAAAATAACACTTCATAGGGATATATTATTGTTAAAAAGTTAAAGTTTTATGAATTCAGTTGATTAGATAATAATCCTTTAGATTGTTAAAATTTAATTAAACCACTCCTGGAATCCAGAAAAATTAAAACGCAAAACACAAAATTTGGGAAAAAATAAAAACCGGATATCATAAGGCCTCATTAAATTTCTAATCTTATAATCTGATGTGAACAGATATTAACAGACCACCACGGTCACCACAAACGGGGTCAGATCTGATAATCCAGGACACTCTTAATGCTAATAATGTATCAGAGCGGCTGGTACAGGAGGTGAGTGCGATACCTGCTGGCGGAGCTGCCCGCTGGTTCTCTGGGACTCGTGGAGCTGCTGTTCGAGCTCTCTGAGGAGCTGTCTCTGCACACACAGCTGCTCCTGCAGCGTCTGGTTACGGGCCTGAGCCTCCATTAAAGCCTGCTTACACTGAGCCGACTCCACTTCAACCGTCTTGGTCACATACTGCAGGAAGAGTGAGAAACAGACACATTCATTCACTTTTATTAGGTGTTCATCAGCCCTGAGTATGTGCCTTCACAGGCTATTTGGTATCCTAAATGTAGAGAGAATATATATATACACAGTCTGAAGGCGCAGTAGAGCTGACTATATAAGGTTAAATATGCAAGGAAGAAAATGGAAATTGAGCCGGATTCTGTGTTGGCCATTCTGAGGGAAATTAATAAGGAGGAATAATTGTCTATCTCTTTCAGTATGGTTGATTCTCTAGATGTGGAAACTGGACACGGTACCAACACTTGATGTTTGGCTGAGTGAGTTGTACATAAGAAATTGTGATTTATCAATAATGACAAATGATATTTATTCGGGAAAATCTGAAAGTCTCTATTCTGTGAATATTAACACCTCATACCTTCTTTTATTGCAGTATTTTTGTATTAGTTTTGCTTTAAGGATGTAACAACATCTACCCTTACATTACTTTAATTATGGACATTCGTCTTTGACGCTCTTTACATTACTTTGTTTCTAATTCTGTTAATTTTAAATCCACTGTGGGAAAGATGTTCCAGTACACAAGTATGACTGTTTATAAGATGTATGTGATTATACAGAAACAAAGAAATACACATTTAACATGAATAATTATCTTGTGTTCACTTCTTTAAATAATACACACAATGAAATGCATGAATCAATCATGACAAAATGCATAAATCATTAAACAAATAGCATGGTGGGGACAGGAACAACATTAAACAATACACACACACACATCATCTGCGTTAACTGACGTTTATTTTATGCATGAACATGAAGTGTGTGTTACTGTACATTCACAGTCCGGCATCATAATAAAAGTCATTTTTTAAAATAATGTCTCTAGTCTCAGGGTCTCAATATGACACTATTAGTTACTTTTTTGGGCCTTACATGCGTTTAAGCGTTTGCTAAATAACTCAAACAAATCCAAAAAAAGCCTCTACGATAGAAGTTCAAGCTTACATTTCAATAAAACATTTTGTCAACACTTTATTTTAGTGTCCTTGTTACATATTTAATATATACTTATTGTAGTAATAACAGTAAATTATGCATAATTACAAGCAACTAACCCCAAACCAAACCCTAAGTAAGTACGTACATGTAGTTCATTTTTATATTACTCAATACTTAATATATAATTACACTGCAACAAGGACACCTTAAAAGAAAGTGTAGCCAACATTCAACAATTTCAAATCAACAATGAAACCTGAAAACACTCAAACATTGTGCTCTGTTATCACACACTCGCCTTGACCTGCAGCGGCTGTGCAGCCTGGAGAGACAGAGCTTCCTCAGCGTCACGAAGCCGAGAGGTCAGCTGATCCTCGCTCTGGCTCCTGTGGCATGACGCCTCTTCCAGCTGCTTCTGGAGCTGCCGTCTGTGGTGCGCGGCCTCCTCCAACTGCTCCTGCAGCTGAACTACTACACCCGTCCTCTCCTGCACCTGCTGCTCCAGCGCAGCCAGTCGCCGCTCTCGCTCGCGACACTCCTCGCCCTTACGACACAGCTCTCCACGCAGGGCCTCCACATCCTGACACATTACATAACAAAACAGAGGATAAACAGCTGTGAGAATAAACACAAGGTAGATAGCATTTCAAGAAGGGCTGTCACTAATGATTATCTTGACAATCTTGACAACAAAAGACGAGAAATCTGATATTTTTGTGTGGTAATGTAAAAATAGACCTAAGAAAACAATAGCCTTAAAGGGGTCATATAATGCCATTTTTGTACAAGCTAATATGATTCTTTAGGGTCTAAATTAAAAGTTTGTAATATACTTTAATTAAAAATTCTCATTAGTATTGTAAGAAAACACTTATTTTACCTCGTCAAAAACAGCTCTGTTTTCAGCACGCCGTTTCAGTGCATATGCCTTTAAATGATCATGAGCTTTGCTCACCCCGCCTCTCTGTTCTGTGTACACCGTTTGTAACACAATAACCATAACGCGTTGTTCATTATAAACGTGGGATTATGAATTATATGGAGAACGTCGTACATAGAAAACATGCAATAATGTACCGTGAGTGTAAACCTTAGACGCATTCCTCGTGAAGCGATTTGGAAAGATATAAATATTAATATAAAGTTTAATAAAACGTTACACTCACTTCAGTTGTTCTAGAGGTTCAGCAGGAACACGAATAGCTGGTACTGATCCTTTATTCAGGAGCAGCTTCTTAGCAAAACCAGGTTTATACTGACCCTCGTTTATAAAGCAGTCTGGTGTGTGAAATGATTCGGCAAACATGAGAGCATTGACGTTGCTCGTGGGGAATATTCCCTTCGAAAACAAACTCAGCCACTGTGTCTTCAGCGGTTCGGATTTAGGAACATTAAAATGACTGCTGTGTTCGTTATTACACCCAAGAACAGAACACCACAATCGCTTAGACGCCATTCTGCTCATAGACAGTGCTCCAGCATATCAACAATGAGCGCGCCGGTCCGCGCAGACTATGATTGACAGCTGGCTCACGAGCGAGGGCGGGTCTGTGTTGAAAGGCGCCTGTCAATCAACAATCGCGGGAGGGGCGTCCGACCGTGTGACGTCACACGGTCGAACAGCTCGATTTGAGGCAGGGGAAAACATTTAATGAGATTAAAACAAAAACACTGGATGGATTTTTATCATTATATGATGGTTGTGTACAGGCACTGCCAACACACATTTCAGTACAATCAACTTGAAAAAGTGCATGAACCATTATATGACCCCTTTAAAAATTACTTAAAATACATATATAATAACAATGAGGCAATAATATTTGGTTCATATAAAGCATCAATAGCAAGTAATCATATGGTTTCATAAAACAATACAGTTCAAATAGATAATATAATATACATAGTATAAACAATCATCATGTGTACATTATGTATTATAACAAATGCCTGCAGAGGGCGCCAACGGCCTGGAGTTGTTACACTTCACAGCAGATCAAATCCTTGTTTAATATTGGCCAAACGACATTTAATCAAAATGTTTACTTAATCTTTAATATTTGGCCACTTCTTTACAATAGAAGTGCTACAGCCACTGTAATTTCTTGAACAAGAACATGTGGACATCAAAACATGCAAACTTTAAACAATGCACAAAGGTTTAAACTTATTTTGAAATCACGATGAACAGTTTGCATATTTAGAAAAGTATTGATATATTCTCCTGTGTTGGCGTAGGTTTATTAATGATTTACCTCACAAATCTAATGAAACGGTGCACATTACGTTCCCAGATGAACATTATAAGTAACCTAAACTCACAGCATACGAGATGGAGTTTGAGACGTATTTCACTCATGTAAATAACAGCATTTACTGTGAACAGAGCCACTCTAAGACGCACTTAGGTGACCTACATGCATGTAAATAATTAAAGAGCATATATATTAAACCCAAAAGGCATATATTTATTTAATTGAATATCAGCCTGTGTGAATTCACAATAGCACTATACTACAGAATGTTTTTTAAATGGTTTTAATACATCTTGTAGCCTTAGAAAACTGTCCAATAATGGATTCATGGATTCTCGTCCATGGAATGAGCCACTTCTGGCATTTTGCCGGTTACTCGACACGGGTAAAATTGCAATCAAGGATTTTTTAAAACCATACTTTAATTTAATCGAGGAATCGTGACAGCCCTAATTTCAAGCATCAAGTAACCAATCGGATTGTATGATTGTATTTGACGCTTGCAATGATTCCCAACCTGGTTGGAAAGATTAGGATTTTTCATTGTTTAACCTATAAAAGTAAGATGGTCTGTTCATGGTTGTGCGAGTGTACCTGGCTGTGCGGGCAGTGGGCAGTAGAGCAGCTGGTCTGAGTGTGACTGGCCCTCAGCTCCTGTTTGAGACGCTGGTTTTCACTCTCCAGCACCTCGAGCTGTTTCTCCAGATCTGTCGCCCCCTAGACACACACACATACATACATACACATTTACTTAGCTAACTGAATGAGGATTTAATTTTATATACACCTAATTATAATTACAAAGCCGAGCCTTACCCCCCCAAACATTTTTTAGAATTGGGGGAAGATGTATATATATAATTATATTATTATACATAAAATGTAATTTATTTCTGTGATGCAAAGCTGAATTTTCAGCATCATAACTCCAGTCTTCAGTGTCACATGATCCTTCAGAAATCACTCTAATATGCTGATTTGCAGCTCAAAATAAATGTCTTATTATCAGTAATGTTGAAAACTGTTGTGCTGCTTAACATTTTTGTGGCAACTATGATGCTTTTTCAGGATTCTCTGATGAATATAAAGTTCAAAAGAACATTTATTTAAAATAGAATAATTGTAACATTATAAATGTCTTTACAATTTGTCTGTCACAATTTGAACGGTACAGTAATTTAATACTCCGTGTTACAAAAAAAAACTAAAATTAAATAAATTAAATGTTAATTATTTTATGAACTGGCTTTACTACAAATGAGAATAGGATTCATAATATTTAGCTTCTGGGGACAAATTTGTCAAAGTACAGATAAGTACAGCCACGCCAATCTAAAATTAAAGATCAGATCAGGGACACATTCCTCTGCTATCAACAAAACCAGATAACCAGGTTAACGCTCCCTCCACCTCCCATCATAAAATTAGATCAGGTCAGTGTTCTTTATAAAACAATAGAAATGTGTTTTCACACAACTGTGACAACTCTCCCTGTCCCTAATAATCCCGGTTTCAGTCTCTCACCAGCTCAGAGCGCAGTCTCTCCACCTCCTGTGTCTGATCCACTAGTTTCTCCTCCAGCTCCTTGACCTACAAAACCACAAACAAACAGCATTATTAAGCCAAATCTCTTTAAAAAGAAATGAGTCAGCCAGTTTAATGCATTCACATTTATGAGGTATCAATCTTCTTTAATCCAACCCGACAGAAACAATGAATATCGATGCATAAAAGGTCACGATACATGGCGGCTGAGGAATGTAAATGATCTGATGGTGCTCTTCTGAATCTGGCTGGAAAACTGAGCCCTATTCTTTGTGTGTAACGTACCTGTGTGCGCAGCCCTGTAATGAGAGCGAGTTGTTCTCCCTCGTCTTTTTGCAGTTGCTCCTGTGAGTGAATTTTACTCACTTGTACAGTGCTGGGAAAATCCAGAGGCCTTTGTGTCAAAGCACTAGAGTTCCTCGCACCTACACAGAGACACATACAAACACAGACTTAACCCCCTGGGGTCGGCTATCGCGCCGGCGCGATTGTCTCGCTTTTTTTCTTATCAGTGCAAAAGAGACTCAAAATACTCGGTTGATTTTGATCTTACATATAAGTGCGATACATCATTAGATCCTGTTAAGTTTCTATTTTTTTTGTGGATACTCACAATAAAAACAAAGTGTTGTGCTTTTCACCAAATAAAGAAAAACAAACATGATGCGAGTTCAGCGTTCTCTCTGTCAGTGCAGTCCATTCTGAAACGCGTCCTAAGATTAACTGTAACTCCGCGATTACTTGTCACACAGGCACGAGAGATTTTTCTTTATGAAGCTTGAATTCTCTTCTTTTAAATGAAGTAATTTATATAAAAAACAAATATTCTCAGTTTATGCAATCTGTATGAAAAGAGAGTGCTGTCAGTATTTTTTTCCCAGCTCATTACACTTCATTACGCGTTAATCTGACACGCCCACGGAGGACGCGCGCTATTCAAACGCAAATGTCGAGGCAAGCCATGACAATGCCCACATCAGCCGTTCCACCGCGGCGGTAAAATGTGTGGTGTATTTGCTGCCTTTTACCGCTAAGAGGCGCTACAGTCATAGACTCTGAAAAGTGTTCGTTTATTCCGGTTTATTCTCTCTAATGTGTAATCTGCTGCCGCACCGCGCTGATTCAGAGCGATTGAAAGCTGGTAGCAGATGAATTCAACAAGTGAAACGTAGTTAAAATAATTCATAATCACAATACTGAAATTAGGCTACTGAAATGTAATTGAATAAATAATGAAAACATTTCAACATCAAGGCTACATCAATGAGAATTTACAACTGTAACAGCGTACAGACGGTAGCTCAGTGATCAACGCAACAACACGAGCTTCGAGGAGCTTCATTCGACCCGAGATCGAATCTCAATGTAGCATACATGTTGTTAACCGATGTTGGCCTACAGCGTTTATATTTTACCACCTTGATGCTTAAATAGGTTACTGTTTATAACTGTTTACTTATTTAAAGTCAAGAGTTTTGTTTAATTATCATTACAACATAAATTTGCTACATTCCTGTAGAACCGCAGCCGCTGCACAAACGACAAAAACTGATGAAGGAAGATTGTCAGCCGATTGCATCAGAAAATGAAAATGAAGAAGCTCGTCTTTAGTCTGCTAAATTATTGTGTAATGTAAAAGAACACTAAAATATCTTAAGTTTGAAACCAAGTTCGAACATGTCAAGGTTTAAATAAAGTGTCGGGACAGTTTTTTTCATTTAAAACAGGGTTGCATCGGGTTTAGAGTTTATTTCTTTTGCGATGCAAAATAAGAAACACTAGGCTAATCTTATTCTTGCGACATTTTAAATTTGTATTGCCAAAGAAATTACAGCTAAATTAAACAATTAAAACAGTACAAAACGAAAATTGTCCAAAGAAACATAATTAAATTAAAAACAAGCGTTTCTCTTTGCCTATCTCGCGCTGGATCTCTTTTTAACAAGTTTATTTAGTCTCCCTCGCTGCGCGCGCCGCGTCTCTCTCGAAATTAAACATTTCAGGGTAAAAACACATCATACAGCTGATAATACTGTATATGTCGCTGCGTGTCAGCCATACAAATCACGAAAAAATTATTTAGCCTTTAATTATTGCTTCAAAGACACAGCATGCCTTGTTGAATTCACCTTACAATAACTTCAATTGAAATTTTGTGTGAAAAAAACTTTAAATAGGCTACAATAAATAAACTACAATATTTATAATTTAATAAGATATGGGGCCTACATTTGGACACAGATTTATCCTTACAATAATTTTGCCTGCTCATCAGGCTGGCTATCCGACACTCTCCATATGAAAGAGGAACATTAACACCTTTGTCCAGCAACTGTCCCTCCAACCCCCCACAGGCTATCGGAGTCTGAGGCTGACTTAACACAAAGAGAAGTCGCAATTCACACTTAAATCGCTATTCTAGACAGTGTTGATAATGAAGGAATTAAATGATTTAAGTTACATGTAGCCTTGTGATATTTCTGTCATAAAAGTTTATTACTAAATATTTCATTATTTCAATAATTGATGAAATAAAACCGGTTTGGGCCAGCTTTTTCCAAGCAAAACTAAATATAATCTGAAAAATCACATGTTAATTTGTTGTCATTAACAAATTGTTCAAATCAATATTAAAGTCTACAGGGATCTTTGGATCCTTACAACCAGGCATGCAATTTGTGAATTAAGTTTTTATTTTATTTTGTATTATTCAAATAAATATCGAAACACGGTGCTTCGTGGTAATGCTGCTAAATTAAATAACATTTATAGAATAATTATGAACTTAAATGAAACAATATCGCAACATTTCGACAAATACATTATTTGATCTGTTTTTACATTTTAATTCAGGGCGATTTAGCCTACATTTAATAAGAGCGAGATTTTGCCATGCAAGCAGCTTTTTCTTATTTTTAGGTCACAAGAAAGTCAACCTGCATTTATGTAGCACTTTATACAGATTGTTTCACTAATAAACAGGAAAATGACAGCGTTAATGTTGCAAAATTCATCAATTATGAAACAAATTCTATTTTAAAGCAGCTATACAGAAGACGACAGTATTATTATTCAGTTCAATGTCAAATCAATTTAGTTCAACAACAGTGTCAATGTTGTTGATAAATGTAAATATGTATAAAAAGCTTTATATTACATAAATATTGTCGCTGTCGGGCAGAAACCTTGTATTTCCATATTTCATCAGAAAAAAAGGAGCGCCCACATAGCAACAGTAAACTTTATCGCATAATAGTTGATAAAAACGTAATGTGTTGCACTTATTGCCTTTCTAATGACGGACAAAACATATACATGTCCGACATTCGCTGGTCAAAAACCTTATAACTCCATTCAAATGGTAAAATGTTAATAATATAAATGACAGATGCAAGCGTCTGACCATATATGACAACGTGGCGTTTAATTATTTAATAATTAAACTGACACTAATAATTAAACGCCACTGACAACGTGGCGTTTAATTATTTAAAAAATACTTTTCCATTTCCTAAAAGTAGCGTTTTTGGAGATACGAAGTTTCTCCCTGACAGCAAATATAAATATATATATATATATATAAAAAATAATACATTTATAATAAAATGTATAGAAATATAAACTATTATAATAAAAATTAAATATTATAAATATAAAAATTTATAATAATAATAATAAATTGGTCCCATTTTATACGAAGTGTCTTTTAACAATGTATTACAGTTTTTTACAGTCGCTAGGACACATTTCTCAATACTTAGGTCACTTTTTCAAAACTCTTCACACAGTTCTCCTAACCAACTTTCAGCTCGGCACAGCAGTTCATTTCACATTCAAAATGCACTAAAACTACAGAATCACTTCGTACATGTCTCAAATCAACTCATTCTTCCAGAACACTAGCAAAGGTTGACAGCCAACAAACACACTTTGTCACCCACAAAACAATGACCTAAAAAACACTAACAACAGGAAACTTTATACAATGTTTTCCTCTGTAAATGCCTTCTTTCTTCTACCTCTCTACTGTTTAGAAATCACTGCAATATATGTTACTAGAATGAATTAGACATGATGCAGTAGCCTATGCTTCAATACTTTATATATTTTATGTTTTTGGAGTAATTCCAAAGTACAAAAATTTGTATACACACCATCCACTGATTCAGATACAATAAGAATCAGCTGTGGTTGGTCCAAATGTCCAATTGTTTTTATACCATTTAATTTTTAGATTTGAAATATATTTCATTACAATATTACTGTAAATGTGGCAAAATGCTGTCTTATTCAGTTTTGTATAATGTTATTGTTTTGAACTTAAGTTGAACAGTTTTGAAAACAGTATGTAAGCATGTGCAAATTGACCTGTAGGTACACAGAGTTTTGGTGGTTGTTGTGTCGAAGTGAGAAAAGAATTAATGTAATTTGAAAGATGTAGTCATTGAATGCATATTGTGCCAAAGCAATGATAAATGATCTACAGTTTAGCTCACATATACTTCTGTTGTGCTCACTGTGAAGAGTTTTGAAAAAGTGACCTAAGTATTGAGAAATGTGTCCTAGCGACTGTAAAAAACTGTAACATTTAAACTAATAATTTGATACAATGCAGTTATTGTGTACATTATTTCCCCCCCATTGTACTTATTTATAAAATACCTTCATGTAATTACAGCTGTACTTAAATCTATAATTCCACTGTAGACCCTTCTCTTACCCCTTAACCCACTCAAATCAAACCGGTCCCTAAACGTACCCGTATCCCACCTCAATAGCAGCAAGTGCTTTGCAATACAACAAGAACACAATAATAAGAACACTGTACCTAACAATATTTTTTGATGCAAGTACATAGTTAAATACACCTGATATAAAGTGTGACCAATTCATGATGTGTGTAATTATAGTTTCACATTTCTCACCTGTAGGGGACACAGCTTGGTTGAGCTGGACGCCGTTCAGTCTGAGCTGCTCTTGAGGTTCTTGGTTAAAGGATGAATGTTCCTCGTAATGGTGGTTGTCGTGGTTGAGCTGATGGTCGTGTGTCTGCAGTCGCTGTAGCAGGAGTTGTTTCGCTGCGTCTTCGTTGCGCAAGCGTGCCTGGAACTCACAAACTCTCTCTTGCAGCGTCTGCACAAACACACAAGAAATCTGTGTAAATTCAATCATGAATGCCAGCTGTACGACCTGAACCACACACAAACTAAAGACAAGCAGGAAGGACATTTAAACAGTGGGAGGATTTTCTAAAATGAAAATGAAACAACCAGGTTACTGAGAAAGTGCTTTTCAGGTTCTTCAAGTGTCATTTACACAACATACTCATGTCATCCCAAACACATATGACTTTATTCCATGGAAAACAAATTTTTTTTTAATAATGTCAATACAAGTTTAGACTTAAAAAAAAATTGGTCACTGTATGTTTGTTGTAACAAAAAGCAGCCAGGACATTTGCAAAAATCTCTCATCATGTATTCAAAAGAAAATATTTTGAAATGACATGAGTAAAAAAGACAAAATTAAAAAATTCCTTTAACTTCACAAGACAGCTTAATGAGCAAGTGACTATTTCTTCTGGCACTCAACTACCTCGGATACAGTTTTCAGGAACTCAAGACGACTACAAAACCTCTAGTAGAGAGATTTAAGCAAACAAGGAGAACTATGAACATTAGAGACTTTACAGCAGTACAGTGTTTTGTAAAGATGACGTCAGAGCGAGGCAAGTAGCACACAGCTAAGCACAAAGAAAGAATCAGAGGGAATTACGTAGGCAGACGTCCAGGAACAGGACAAAGTAACCTTCTGTGCAGGTGAAATGGAGAGAAGGCAGTGCAGAGACACACAAATAAAGACCGAGGGGGAAGAAAGGAGCAGAAAAGCATGAAAACAAAAAGATCAGTGATGTGATGGATGACAGATGACACACAAAAGAACAAAATCACTCAACTCAAACTTCGCAGGAAAAAATGTGCACATACCAACTCTTTGAGATGATGCTATTTTTGAAGATTTGAAAATCTGATGTCTTAAAATCCTGTATTTTAGTGATTGGTTAGGCTGGAATTCCCACTACTGACTCATTGTACCTCTACAGGTAACACTGCCTGGTCAACACAGATAGATCTAGAGAAGCACATACAAAGCTATCCCACGTCTAAACTATTGTTTGTATTGAGAAGAGCCGTCAATGCATTGAAAAGCAGTGGCCTGGACAAACCATACGTGTGATCTCCAGCCAATCGGATCTCTTCTGTGCTGATGGTATGTTGAAAAGACTGGAAACCCAAGCACACTCAAATCTCTATTACTCTAGATTGTTCTTTTCAGAGAAGCTTTACCCACCCCTGGAGATCAAAGAGAGGAGGACTGTGCTCCTAATGTATCATTAACCTACGGTGGATCGTGTTATGTAACTCCAGATGAGCTACTAGAGTCATATCTATCAACCAGGGGTAAATGCGCAAGTTACAACTTAGCTTTGATGTAAAAGGGCACAAAGGTACTAAATATTTTTGCGGTGCACTATTCAATTTGTTGAAACGCAACTATGTATAATCTAAATATTTCCGGAAGCCTCCGATAAGGAGAAATGGTTGGAATAAAACAGAAGATCGACAGACTTCAATCCTTTAGACATACATGATCATGTTGACATTTACACTCATCTACATTTTAAGAGCGAGAACATTATGTAAATAAATTACTTTGTTAGTAGCTCTTCAACAAAACCCCTTCCCTAAAGAGCACACCGCTTTGTGCATCGGTCCGTGTTGTGCGTGTCAAATAATAAATATATTTAATTTCTTATGTTTTTTCAGTATCAGTATCCTTATTAATTTCAAATACAGTTTCAGAATGTTATTACATATATGTTGTATCATGTTCTTCATGAAAGTAGTACTGTATTTCAATGGCAACATATTTTTACTGTTAGTTATGTGAGGCAAAAGTTAGAATCAAGGATAAATTAAAATTCATGGCATTTCAACAAATTCTGCTCACATATTTGAAGGGAGCTATTGGAACATTAAAAGGTAAACGTCATATGTGACTAAACATTACTTCATGAAGAGCTTACGACCTACTAACTATGTTCTGCCTTAAAAACAAATGGTGCAACCAAATAAAGTAGAGAGTTAGTTATAAAACTGGCTAGTTACCTCTAGCGTGGACTTTACTTTTCAATTTAAGTAAGAACTTACAAACGGCTTGAGCAACCATACGCAGGATATCAGAGAAGTGGGGATGGACTTATTTGCCTTCATAATATTCTTATAAATCTTTCCATTTAAAGCTCAAAAACTGAAGAGGTGTTTTAGATCTGAAACAGTCTAAGAAACAATGAATGTGCAAATAGCAGCCCTAATCTAATCTAATCAACTAAATGAAATGGGATTTGCCTGCAGATGTTGCCCTGAGGGAATCTCACACCGAAATAAACCCGAGCCCGTGGTCGTTTACAGACAGTTTGAGCAACCAGCTGCGCAGAGAAGCCCTAAAGCGGATAACATTGTTTAAACACAGAACACAAAGGCAGCGCTGCCTGTTAGCGGTGACCTATGAAACCTGTAAAATCAATTACGCAAAGATCACACAGATATAGAACAGACCGGTCACACAGAAACCAGCTCCTGAATGTAGTAATCTGGTGAAGATGATTCAATCACAACACACAACCACAGAAACAGATGGTTGAGAATTTAATGCATATTTTTAATGCATTTTTTATGTTTTGAAAGAAGATTTTTCTGCTCATCAAGGCTGCATTTGTTTGATCAAAAATAGAGTATTTTAAAGTGTAATTTATTCCCGAGATGCAAAGCTGAATTTTCAGCATCATTACTCCAGTGTCACATGATCCTTCAGAAATCATTCTAATATGCTGATTTGCTGCTCAAGAAACATGATTATTATCAATGTTGAAAACAGTTGTGCTGCCTAGTATTTTTGTGGATGAATTTTTTCCCCCAGAAAGAACAGAATTTATTTGAAAAAGGAAATCTTTTGTAATATTATGTCTTTACTGACACATTTGAATAAATTAATGAATCCTTGCTGAATAAAAGTATCAATTTCTTTAAAAATTACCCCAAACGGTAGTGTAAATGGTCTAGAACACAGAATCTAGAGATTGCCCGACCGTTGCTATTCAGGCTTAGCCTGGGAAAACCCAGACAACTTCCGGCAAATTTAGATTTGCTCTGAAAGTTAGTCTGGCAAAGAGCTCATTCAAGCCCATTTCCAATCCGTCGAAATCGAGGCACCAATCAGAAACATTGGGGCGGGCTTTACACGATGACGACAGCGCTGGGATTTTGAAGCAGATTTTAGCCTACATTACAAAGATGGATGCCGCCGTCGAACATCACTCGTTCGAATCAGCTATCGCGTCTGTTTTAAGCCATTTGAACGTTTCCTTTTTGTTAAAAACCGAGCAAAGAACAACACTCTGAGATGTTTCTCCGCCGCTCTGCATACGTCATCTCCTTCATCGCTCTGATTGGGTTTAGGTCTATCCGCGACGGCCGTTGGTGACGCCCCTCTGGAAATGATTTGTCTATGACGCTTTGCCAGACCATAACTCAGTTACAACTGAGAATGAAAATTTTTAGCCAAGTAAGTGTGCTGATCCTTTAGAACTGACAAAAGTCCCAGAATGCCTAGTATGAACAATCATAACGGTTGTGCTTGTCTTCGCAAATAACACTCGCAGGGTCGTACCTGTATCAGCAACTGCTGCTGTTCTGAGGTTGCCGTTTCAGCGAGGTCAGAGGTCAAACAGTGGCGTTGAAGGACAGAATTGGGTAACGAGAGGAAGGAGCTCTCCTCCTCACCATCACTCATCAGGATATCCAGGGAACTCGCTGAAGAAAACACACAAACAACAAAAACAGTAAATATGGTTATTATTACGACAAAAGTAAAGTGGTAACATTTTACGGTAACACTATTTTACAGTTTTTGTTACATACCAAAGCAATAACATTAAATTATGCATAATTACATGCAACTAACCCTAACCCTATAGTAAATACATGTTGTTAATTAATATTACTCGGTACTTAAATATATAATTATTACACTGTAATAATGTAACAAAAATAAACAGTAACCCACTTTACATTAAGGTTCCATTTGTTAATATTAGTTAACTACATTAGTTAACATGAACTATCAATGAAAAATACTTCTAAAGCATTTATTAATCTTAATTAAAATGTTAATTTCAACATTTTCTAACATTATTAAAATCAAAAGTTGCATCGGTTAATATTATTTAATGGACCCGAGCAAACAAACCAGTATTTTTATGAACTAATGTTAACAAATTAACTGTAACAATTAACTAACTGTAACAAATTATTGCTCATTGTTGGCTAATGTTAATGCATTAACTAATGTTTACTAATGGGGCCTTATTGTAAAGTGTTACCAGTAAATATTGTTATTATTATTAAATTATATAATTATACATTTCGGGAAGAAATGGACCCAAAAGCACCATGAAAGTAGCCCAGATCAGGGATATTATTGTTAGCTAAAGCTAAAACTATAAAAAATATTTGTGATAAATTAATAAAGCTGAAATAAATTTAAATATAATTATTAGATGAAAAACTTAGATGAGAAATAAACTCAAAAGAATGATTCGTTTACTGATTAGACAGCTACTTCTCATGAACACACCAAGGGGATCCAGAAGCAAATGTCAAGATCTTCATATAATAACAGCTTCAATTTCCATCTATTCCTCACATAAACCCATCGTATGATTCAGAAGATTAGGAATATAGAGTCTTGTGCAGTGGCGCCTACAGCTGTACGGTTGTACACACTTAAGCATGAGCGCTCCGATTGACCTGAGAAATGTTTTTTCCAGCAAATATTTCAGCAGTTATTACACATGTCCCGTCTTTCTGTTGACTGAACCAGTGAAGCCAATTATTTGTGAACTAACCATTCTTTTGAGTCATTTCTTTTCAGGAAGTGAATTGGACAAACGGGTTTGCAAAATGGTCTGAATCAATTTGTATTTGTTCAGACTGCGCTCTCTGTGAATCATCTGAAGTGGTTTCTCAGTCAGAAAAAAAAAAAAAAAACAGTATCGAGAACACGAAGTAGATATTCATCTACAAACAATGTAAACAAAAGGCTACTTTGTGAGAGGTAACTGAGAAAATCCTGCTACTGCGGTGTCATCTGAATAAGCGGCCATTTACAGTGTTTGTGTCTGTCCATGTTGTTTTCATGTGAACAGATGTTTGATCATTTTATTGCTTTTTGTCATTTCCGTTTTAAAATGTGTTTAGAGACAAACTTCTCGCTGATAGTTTGGTCTGAAGAGTCTCATCTCTTCTAGAACTGCAAAGTAGTTACATAAATGCTAGAATTTATAATTTTATCTCAGAGTTGAATTATTAACACGAGGAATGAGCATATATTGAACTTTTTTAGTTGCAATTTTTTCTTCTTGCAGACGTCACCTGGTCTTGTGGACAACTTTTATGATATTTTTTATTGTGCTTTTGGCTTCCTTTTTGAAGCTTCAGAGCTTTAGTCCTCCTCAGTCAATAACTACATCAAATCATAAAAAACAAGTTAACAATTTCTCTGTTTGTGTTACTTGAAAGAAATAGAAATCAGGTTTGGAACAACTGGACAGTGAGTAAATGAGGACCGGGTGAAGTAATCCTTCAAGATAAACATGCATTGAAAACATTATCAATCAATCTGGAAAAGGTCTCATTGTGACAGCAACTCATGATAAGATAACAACCTGCTGCGAGTGATGCATTAACCTGGAATTCAATGTGGCCATGAACCATACCAAAAAACAACAATTTACCGTTTTGTTTGCCAAACACCTCTCGTTTACACTCACACCGATGAGACATGCAGCCTCTCGCTGGTACGGTTTGCGATGACACAGCAGTAGAGCCGCTTTCGTGGAAGAGTGTCAGACTGAATGCAAATCTGTCACTGCATCACTGCAAAAACCAGCTGCCAGCACTCAGCCCCGACATTTCCCCGTTTTTCCTCTTTGTTTGCTTCCCTTTTTAGTCCTTTTTGGTCTTTGTTTCTCACACAATTGCTGTGCCTGTTGTTATATTGTCCCATGCAGCAACAGAGCGCATTAGCACACGTACATATTTTTCTCGCACACACAATAGTCCCAGTGTTCAAGCCCTCCTCTCGTCTTTAAGGAGATTTACCCTTCTGTACCTGGACAGAGCGCATGTTGTTCTGCATTCGGTCCGAATCCGTCTGTCTCTGTTGCTCCCTGTCAGCGGGCAAGACCACATCCCTCTAGCTCTCCTCGATGACTGAGCCAGAGAGTGCTCTCTCTCTCTCTCACACACACACACACACGCCTGCACTGTATCTCTCTCTTCTACTCTCTATCCCCACTACATACATTCAAACATTCAAACTATCCTCGGGAAAAATGTTGCCAAACCGGTTTTTAAGTCCACCCATGTGACAGTGCTTACCATCCAATGACAGGTCTTTGTTCCAGAGCTCCTGCAGGCAGGGTGTGTGGCTGACGTCCCAGGTCTTTCGTGTGCTGTACATGACCGCAGGGCCGAGCAGACCACTCCGCTGGACCGGCTGTAAAGCCAGACAAAATCCAATAAATAAATACCCAAGTAATGAACATTTAGGGCTTTTCACACTGCACTTAACCCCGGGCTATCTTCGTTCTAAACACCGCTTTTAACCCCGGGTAAAGGACCGTTTCACACTTGTAATTTAGAAGCGGGGTTGTGAAACCCTGCTCAGGAGCAGGTTGAGCACTGCTTTTGCTGTGTTAACCCCGCATTGCAGTGGCAAACTTGTACAGGGTGTTAGTAGGCCTATGTTACAGCTAGACACTTAGCAACAGACAATCAATCGCGTGCCTTATATTTACATGCTTTGGAGTGTCACGGAAACACTGCGCCTTGTAAATAAACAGTAAATTCAGTGAATGATTGGAAAAATGTCAAATGCTGACAAAGTTTTATAACTGGAGTGAAGAAGAGACCGTATCATTCTTACCTTTATACTATTCAGGATAAACTTGATAGTAAAGTCGGCTACATGTAATATAAGAATGTGACATATGTAAACATATCGCAAGTGGTCCAGACAGTAACTAGGGTCTAGATATGTAGGAACGGCAGCTTATGAATACCCAGGATTTATTGTTAACCCCAGGTAAATTATTATCAGTGTGAAACGTTAGCAAGGATCCCTTTTACCTGGGGTTTACAATGCCCCAGGGTTAACTATTTCAAGTATGGAAAGCCCTTTTGTGCCATTAATAATAACATTTTACATAGACATTTTACAAAATAAATGTAATTATTATTTGTGCAAACCACTGCTATATCGGCCTAAAAAAAAATAAAAAAAAAAATAGAGTTGCATTTGACATTTAAATTACAGTTTTAACAAACTAATAAACTTATATGGGTAGTCATTCATAAACAAAGCTGGTAAGAAATAGGTAAGATTCTGCACTCAAAATACCATGGCATAGCTTATTAACTATTTGCATCTATTTGATTTTATTTAAATAATCATCATTTCAAAATGCATGTATTCAAATTGCTTAGAATCCACATAAAAAACATTTCAGTTAAACATTATGAATCAATTAGTTAAAATTTGTGAGATTGAAACAAATTGGATTGATCCATTATAATATATATTAAAATGGTTATTGTGTTTTTTAAAATCATTCCGTTTATTACTTAGTTCTATTACAATAATATTACTAGTTTCTTACTGGTTTCATTTATGTACTGTATGACTGAGCAAATATGTATCACATTAAATTTATTAGTTTATGTTAAAAACTGTGAAACCCAAATTGATGGAAATTTTATATGCAATTAAAATGCATAAATAATAAACTTAGGTCTACATTTTTTTTTTTTTTAGTAAACCGTAAATCAATCTCTCTATACTTTTCCCCTCTTTTGGAAAGTCATAGAAATGCTATCGTGGACTTTTCCTTTTGCTATTGAAGAAAATGGGATGGGAACACACAAATTATAATTTTATATAATTTCACTCAAGAAGTTTAACTTCTGCTTTGAGAAGTTGAACCCTGGAAAAGTGAAAAGGGACCAGAACTCGTTCAATTGAACAATCCTTAGGGCCATAAACACAATTGGTGTTATTACAAATGAGATTAGAGCGCACAGACTACAGGTCACACTGAGAGAAGAGGATTACGGTCCTTGCAGACAGACAGACAACAAAAGGACACCCAATGAGTTAATAACTGACCATCAATAACGTCTTCTACAAACAGACCCCATCTGCCCACAAAAAAAGGCGATGACAGCATTTACTAGTACTAATCTCTTTATTCCAGTTGGAGGCAAAAGTTTTTGGTCACTAAGATGTTTTTTCAAAGCAATTAATTTTTTCAGCAAGGATGCATTAAATTGATTCAAGTGACAATGAAGACCTTTAAAATACTACAAAATATTTTCATTTCAAACAAATGCTGTTCTTCTGAATTTTCTATTAAAAAAAATCCAGAAAATAAATGATCACGATCACAATCCCCCAGAATGAAGGATCACGTGACGCTAAAGACTGGAGTAATGATGCTGAAAATTCAGCTTTGCATTACAGGAATAAAGTGCACACACTAAAATATAATCAAATAGAAAGAAGTCATTTTAAATTGTAATCATTTATAACAATATTACCATTTTTTACTGCATTTATGATTAAATAAATGCAGCCTTGGTGAGCAGAAGAGACTTATTTCAAAAACATTAAAAAAGCGCATACAGTACATCACAATTGCCTTTTTTAAATCTTAAAAGCATGAGATTGGGTGCGTGTATGGGGTGATTAATTATCATAAAAAAAAAGAATAAAAAAAAAAACACCTTTCAAATTTGTGATGAAATAACCTAGGCATTACCCATTTCAGCACTGCAGCATGAATAAAAAAAGCCTTTAATAGGATAATCATCAATCTCTCCAAATATTCAGCCTGAGTATGTGCTAAACAGAAAACCTCTGTCATAGTACAGGGGTCACTGGCTGATTTAACATGTCTGGGCCTAAAAAAAAGGTCAGAGTTGTATTTAAATACTGAATAGCAGAATAAGCTGTCAGTCCCAACAACACACGCTAGTCACGCTGAAACTAATCCTCTAGAGCACAGAAAACACTTCGAAGACTACATAGCTTCTATTCACGCTGGTCTCTCACTGACTTCAACACACACACACCTGCTGTACCATGAATCCAGTTTTCCTGCAGTCCTGAGGATGCACAGGCTGATCCCGCTCCAGCCGGCCCTTGTTAATGAGAGATCCCATCCAACACAACATCTTTATCCTCTCCAGTCACAACAAACAAACAGCTCTTAACCGCTCCACATCTTCAGAATGATGCTCATGTTGTTAGAAAGAAAAGAATCTGTTTACTAACAGGTTAGTGAAGACGTCGTGCGTCAAGGCAGCTTGGATCAAGTTCATTTTACCCATAATCCTTTAAGCTGACAGCAAATGACCTCTTTCCATCGTGATGGCAGGGCAGACATTTTTGGACTGATTCAAGTCCAATCCCTGCACTAGCGTCACTTTCCCCTGATATTTTGGAAAACATCTGCACAGTTCCAGCAGATTTGCTCATGCTCACACAGAGGACAAAAACTACCTTTCAAAAGTTTGGGGTTGGAAAGATTTTTGATAGAAGTCTTCGGCTCATCAAGACTGCATTTATGTGGTCAAAATTACAGAAAATACTGTAATATTGTGAGAAATTGTTTAGTATTGGAATACATTTTAAAATGTAATTTATTCCTGTTATGCAAAGCTCAATAAAGGGGCAAGAATAAACCTGGTGTCCATGATTCCAGTCCTTTTCGACAACAGCACTTGAATGCGACGAGCTCGTAATAACAAGCAGTAGGACATTTCCAACAGCATATGAATGCAACATAAACATCACTGCTAAAATAGCTCAGAAAAGTTAACACTGAGAAAAGCTCTAGAAGCATTTGTTTTTCATTCAAACACATGTAAAAGTGCTCGACACCAAAGTTAGTCCTTACTCCACCTGAGAAGAAACCTAAGTGCTGAAATGTGCTTTTAGGGATAGAAAACACACTCTTAATGGTCTCTCTAATTCTGGAATTAAGAAACATGTCCTCATTACGGTGTTTTGGCCACCAGAGGGAGCCGTACACAGACCTCTTGATTCTGATGCGAGTCACTCTTTACCAATTATTGGATACATTTTTCAGGGGTGCAGAGACAGATGATGATCTGTCATGTACTAACAGACATAGACACTAATTATCCAACAGAATTCACAGTAAACAACAAAACACCACAACATTTCAATTATCCCAGAGCACTTTCCCTCTCCTTCTCTCTCTTCCCTTAAGGTCAATTTACACTCCGTCATTGGTAAATCAACACTCAGGCCCTTCTGATGTTTCATGGTGGTCTCCTGGGACGATCTCACACAGACTGCTCTAATGAAACGACGGATCTGCCTCAGTCCCCTGATGAAACCGCACACCACACATATTCATTTCATCCAGTACAGATGGGCATTTCACGAGCTCTTGAGAAACACCGAGTTGAAAACGACTGTTTAGCTGAGGAAGAGCGCATTCCCATCACACTGACATGGTTTTCATCTTCAGCAGCATACTTACACACAGCGGAGTGTGTGAATCTCATTAACCTACTTCTGTTTCTCTCTCTCCCCCGTGCTTCATCTTCTATTTTAGTTCTGCTACCCACATTCACAGAAAAAAAATCATGCACAAACCCGCTAGTGAAGAGAAACTGCTCTTAAAACAGCATTCAAAACATCTGAACGCATGTGTTCAAGACAGAGACCTTTAAACACCTCAAAACAATATACGTTTAAAGTAGGAGATTCATACTATATGACCTTGAGAAGTGATTTCAAACCAAGTTCCAACTAGTTTTAGTTGGATAACGATAAAGTCCTTCCAGACACAACACAGCGTTTTTGATTAGTTAATGAACAAACATCTATGTAAGGGAAAATAATAGGCTAATGTATAGGATAATATATCATGTAGGTGACGGGTGTACTATGACATTTTTGCACATCATGCTTTGGGGTCTTTGAGACCCTAAACATCAAGAATGTAAAGTCAACTGCAACAGAACAGGACAAATATTATTTTATATTTGAAATGCACAGTAGACCTTTTAAAAAGGTTCAAGCCATTTTGGGGATTAATAAAAAGCTTTAATTGCTAAATTACAATTAAAATCTGAGAAGTGTGTTGATGCATTATAGGCTGGTGTGTGTGTGTGTATACACTCACCGGCCACTTTATTAGGTACACCTGTCCAACTGCTCGTTAACACTTAATTTCTAAGCAGCCAATCACATGGCGGCAACTCAGTGCATTTAGGCATGTAGACATGGTCAAGACAATCTCCTGCAGTTCAAACCGAGCATCAGTATGGGGAAGAAAGGTGATTTGAGTGACTTTGAACGTGGCATGATTGTTGGTGCCAGAAGGGCTGGTCTGAGTATTTCAGAAACTGCTAATCTACTGGGATTTTCACGCACAACCATCTCTAGGGTTTACAGAGAATGGT